CTATCACATTGGGACCTAGAGTTTCAACACATGAATCTAGGGAACATACATTCATTCAGTCCACAGTACCACTGAATCCACAATCCTAAAAAGTTGACTGAATAAAGTCCACAATTTTCATAAGGAGACCTGACAGGTTTCTGGAACCACCAGAGTTTTGAGTTATGTCACTTTCACGTGTCTCTCTAGCAAGTAACTTAGTCTCTCCCAATCCAAGTAATAACTGCATTAAATATCTCACTGGATGGTTACCAGGGGCAAATAAGATAAACTGAGTAAAAATGTCAATATAGCACAGAGGATATTATTGCAACAAAACTCTTTTACTATGGCCCAGATTCTTTGGGACAGTTTCAAATGTATTCTCAATGGTATTGCAAAATTCTAGTACATGTATGATTGGTGGAATGACTCAGTCATCTGCCCTCATGTATTTCCACCACTCTGGCTATAGAATGGCTTTTTTTTTAACCTTCACTATTCACAAATGGTATTTTTTAAATTTGTTCTAATTAGTTATACATGTGACAGTAGAATGCACTTTGACACATCATACATAAATGAAGTATAACTTCTCATTCTTTTGGTTATACTTGTTGTAGACTCATACCAATCGTGTAATCACATATGCACATAGGGTAATAATGTCTGATTCATTCTACTATTTTTACTAACCCCATGCCCCCTCCCTCCATTCACGCCCTTCTGCCTAATCCAAAGTACTTCTATTTTTCCAAACCCCACCACCACCCCACACACTTTATTGTGAATCACTATCCACATATCAGAGAAAATATTTGGCCATTGGTTTTTTGGGATTGGCTTATTTCACATGATAGTCTCCAGCTCCATCCATCTACCTACAAATGCCATAATTTCATTCTTCTTTCAGGCTGAGAATAGCTTTTTTTAAAATTCTCTTTTCTTAAAATCAAACTGAGAATTACTTTAGCATGATGTTCAAGTTCAAATCACTGCCATGACGGAGATAATGACACTGTACTCACCTCTCATGCAGTGTACACATCATCTAGAATGCCTATTCAAGACTCTGCCCTGTGCAAAATGGTCTACCTCCTGAGGGAAGAAGGGACTGCAGCAAGACTCATTACCAAAAGAGAACTTGGCCAGGAGTTGGAAAAGCATTTAATATAGTTCAGTCACTTCTTAGCAGCTGAGAAACTTTGAATTCATGACATTGTACATGCTTTCCAATATTTCTTATGGCCCTACCCTAATCTGTTGATTTTTTTTCCCAATTTCATCTGTTTTACCCACCCAAGAGTTGCCCCTAGTTTTATAAAATGACATTTTCCCCCACCATCAGCCTCAGGGTCATGACTAGTATGTGTTCACTAGTTGGGGTGATTTAAAATCAGTCAGTAAAACAAACCACAAGTAGATTAACAAAACCCCTAGAACTCAGCCATATGTTCCTTATTTACACTCTCTGCTAAAGAAAGAGTAAATGCAAAGGAATCTAATAAGGCCTAAACAGTTAGTTTTATCTGTCAATTCCTAGAGTGTCTGATCCCTTTTCTCTCACCTGACTTCTCAGGTCAATATTTCAAAGCACAAAGGTTAAATACTGAAATGTCCTCATACAAAATATAAGATACACCAGGAGACAAACCAAATGCTACAGTTCTCCTCCCCAAGATGTCTCCAGAGCGAATAGATCTGGGCCTTATATGTGCCACTTGGAAACTGCTGTCACAACAATTTCCACTCCACCATTTTGCCACACATCTGTGCCGCCTGGCAGTTAAGGTAAATCTCTTGATAGAGAAGCCTTACTTTCCTCCACCTACCCCGATCCTATCTATCCTGCTAGGCCTGCTCAGACCCTACCTCTTCCAAGTCATCTCCAGTCTCTTCCCCTAATCACCAGCTCCAGGATAATCTTCCAAATCCCTCCATAAAGTCTTTCATCAATCACCATCTGGCTCCTTTGCAGTGATCAGTACAGTGCCAGTCACTGCCCAAGCACATGGACCAATTATGTACGCCCAGGGAATTGCTTGTCCTATCTCCCATTTGTTTGATTGGCATGTTATGATCACAGAAGTCAAATAAACTGAAGGAGCACTGTCATGTAAAATATACTAAATACACTTCCTAGACACATTCCGGGATTTTGGTGTAAGAGAAGTCTCCAATGAACCCAAAAGACCAACCCTTGGGAGGTCCCCTGCAGTACTAACCAGGGCCTCCTCCAAAGCTGCCTACCCATACAAATCCTGCCTTTGTTGATTAGCCTACTACAAAATATGGATATACTAAAACCTTAATCTGATCAGGCTGCTATAACAAAATATCATAAACTGGGTAGTTTATAAACAACAGAAGTTTATTTCCCAGTTCTGGAGAATGGGAAGTCCAAGATCAAGGCAGATTAGGTATCTGGTTACAACCTTACATAACACATGGGGGTAGGGCAGCTCTCTGGGGCCTCTTTTTAAGTGCACAAATCCTGAGCCCTCATGATCTAATCAAAAAGGCCCCACTTCTAATTCCATTACAGTGGTAATTAGATTTCAACATACAGACTTTGGGAAGACAAAGTCTGACTATGGCAAGCAGATAGATATGAACATTTATTAAATAAAATTATCTAGAGGCCTTTTTTGCTAATTTCAAACTCCACAGTCAGCATCAGCATCAGATTCCCAGATACTTTAGCTGTTCCTATGTTAGATAACAGCCTTTTTCAGAGAGAAGGGATGTGAGGAATTCTGACTCCTTGCTGCTACCAGGCTAAAATGAGGACAGCATTTGGACTGCTCCCTGAAATTAAAAGGTATCACCTGCCTTGTTAAAAGCCTTGAAGCTAGATGGGCTGCTATTGGGACTAAGCTRAAGTGAGGTTATTCATTTTCACGGTTAAGGGTTAGGGCGGGGGGAGTTTCAAACTTATTAACAATCATGTTAAAATTATTTTTGGCTAAGCCTTCCTACTACCCCAAATTATGCAACAAAATGTCATCAAGTCAATCAAGATAATCTATACCATGTGTAACTTCATCTTTCTTTAAGTGATTACACTGAAAAAGTTATGAGAGGTAAAATTCTCCTGCAAATTTGAGTTGAGGATCCTGTATTAAATACCCACAATAAATGATTAGGCTAGATTGTCACCTAATCTAGGGAAAATGGTGGTAATCTAAATAGGTTAATCAATAAACTTAGCTGAGCCTCTGTTGTGGCCAGGCCAATGTTTACACTAAAAGTATATAAGATAATTTCACAACCCTTCAGGAACTTAAAATCTAATTAGGTAGTCAGGGCATGTACACAAGAAAAATAAACAAATGAAAAGCAAATGGACAGAGAATGTAGCCAGTCAACTCAAACCCTACTCCACACATGACCCTCCAGCGTGTAACTGCCCACAAATATGGCTAGTCAAGGAGCCCTTAACTACACGAGCGTCACCTGTGCCTTTTTGTGTTCCTGCATCATCTATCTCCAATTTCATAACAATTGCTGCCTCCTCTTCCCTGTCCCATCCAGTCTGACTCAGAATTGCCCTTCTGTACTCCAGGGGTGCCCTCTCCAAACCTTATCAGGGCACTCATGACACTGTTCCACAATTGCTCATGTGACTCCTGACTGCACTGTGAATTACTGGGGAGCAAAACTGTTTTCTCCAGTGTTTAGTCCCCAATGGGCACATTATAGGCTCAAGAAATGACCAAATTGATGAATAAATGCCAATCCTGATCTTCCCTCCTAAACATATTTTAACCTTATTTTAAATCTGCCTTCTCTATACCTCYAAGGAGACAATACAGTATAGAATGGTCACTGAGTATGTAGCCTCTGAAATCAGACTGATATAGTATCTTTGTCCCATTACTTGTTAGTAAAGTGATAATGAGCAAATTATATAACCCACATATGCCTCAATTTCCTTATTTGTAAAATGAAGCCCCTGGTTCCCTATCACTTTCAGAAAACTGACCTCTTTTGTCACTTTAAGAAAGCCTTCATGATTTGGCTCCAATTCCCTCGCCCCTCTGCTTACAGCCAAGCCCCAGATTCTCTACTGCCTACAAATCCCTCAATGTGTCCTATTCTCACAGCTCTCCATTCCAGGCTGTTCTATCAAGACCATGATTTCTGCTTGGTTACCTGGATTATTCTTTCTAATCCTTCATCTCTGAACCTAGATGTCACCTCTTCCATGGTTACATCATGGCCTCAAGTGAAATGAAGGCCTCAGTTTAAATCCTAGCTATATCATTTACAGGTAACATGACCCTGAGGGATTAGTTTGCTTCTCTTGGCTTCCTGTTTGCTACCTGTAAAATGGAAATAGAAAGAACCTACCAGGTAGGGTTGCTGTGAGGATTAGACAAAAAGCATCTCCCCCAAGAAAAGACCATAGAGAGTCTTAATACTTGCTAGTTACTACTATTGGCCCTAGGAACTTTCCTAAGCACTTTTAATACTCACATGATGCCTTGTAGGAAATAAGAGGTTTAGAGCTGTCAAGTAATTGCCCCAAGCATTAACTTCCAACATCAGAGTTAACACTTGAACCCAGAACCTCACAAGCAGAAAAGGTTTGGAAAACAGGATCAGGGTTAGAGAATGTGTGGAGCTTGCTCAAGGACTCATGATCAGTTACTGCTCTATGCTCAACCAGATCTGGTTCTAAAGTGATAGCTGAATTGTGATTTGAAAGTCTTATAAACTACAAGCATCATAAAATAAGATTTGAGGAGATAAAAATGGTAAAAGTCCTTCAGAGAAGCTGAGAAACTCGGCTTGGTTCCCACCAGTGGATGAAGGAATTCTTTAATTTAGGCAAAAAAAAGGGCAACTATCTTTTTATCTACCTAATTCCCTGTATATAGCTGTATGAAGCAGCTTTGTCACAGTTACAAAAACTCATGAAAATACAAAAACGTAATATTTATGAACACTAAAGAATGTATCTAAATGTAACATTTTAAATGATTTGTAAAACAAAATGCTGATTCTTACAAATGTGCCATTATTTATATTTTTATTTTTAGAAAGACTTACAAATAGTTCACCAGAATACAATTCTCACAATTCACTTTATAGTTAATTAATTTATGTCCAAAGTGAGTCCTTTTCTATATGGTTTCTGAAAAAGCAAAACATTTYATATTTTCAGTAGAAAAAAATTTACATGTGGAAGTCAAAAACATCTTCAACCACCGTATCTTTTCTTGAGTTCTTCAACAGAATTATCTTTCAATCCTGATTTGTCTATGTGATTGAACAATACATGTGCAACTGAAAGAGAAAAAAAAATCCATTTTAATCTAATTTTAAAAAAACTAAGCAAAATGTGAACTAAAAGAAGTAATCTGATCTGTCAAATAAAAGTTTTTTTATATTTTAAAAGCAATAATTAAAATTACTTATAAATTCCAACTCACATATTTAAAAAGCCAACTTGAGAATGAAAATTATAATAATTCAACAATGTTTCTTTCCAAAATATTTTGTTTTAACAGTACAAAATTTCCCTTACATCGTTAATGACATTAATCTTACAGAATAAACTTAATTTATTCTATAACAGCCTAAAAAGTTTTTGGCCTAACAAATATACTTTTTAAATACTTTTTTTTAGTTGTTGATGGATATTTTATTTATTTATATGTGGTGCTGAGAATCGAACCAGTGCTTCACACATACTAGGCAAGCACTCTACCACTGAGCCACAACCTCAGCCCCACAAGTATACTTTTATTTACTTAATATTTTTATTTCAATTTTAGATCTTTTTAAAACTTTATATCATTACTATAAATTGAAAATCAGCAATAATATCTATGAAATCACATTTGATGGGCTAGTAATACATTTTTAGATTAAATAATACATAAATACTAAAGGTTTTAAAAAATGGTATTAAAAAAAGATTTGTCTATGAATCATAAAATCATCATTCTTACCTGAGTGGTCTACACTCAACTTTGGAAAACATAGTTCATGTGAGAACTATGAACAGCTATTAATGATAATGGCAATATAAATATGGATAACAGCAGCTATCTTCACGGAATGCTTAATTACATGCCAGAACCATTCCAAATGCTTCCTATGTTTAACTTAGCACACAGTTGTGACCCAACCAAGACACAGTTGGTAGGTTGGTCTAAAGAGCAAGCTTACATGCTTCAAGTACACTCTGAACATAATATCACATTAGAGGGACAAGAAATCATTCAACACTTCTATATTGAGAGGCTATTATGTACTAGCACTGAGGCCTACTGACCAAGGTAAACAAAGTTCCTGCTCTCATGGAGCTTTTGTTCTGTTAGGGAAAAAGAAATAATAAGCATATACATGAAACACTCTCAGTTATGTGTTAGGAAAAAAAATCAAGCAGGATTAGAAAACAAAGTTAGGGGAAGTGATGGGAGGTGGACAGTCATTTTAACCAGAGTTGGTRAAGAAAGTGTCTGTGAGGTGAAACTCAAAGAAGCCAGGAAGCACCAAGGTGAAGACAACTCGTAGGAAAGTCTAAATTCTAGGCTGAGGGAACAAATATAAAGTCCCTGAGGTTAAAGTAAGTTTGGCAGTTTAACATATTAAAAGAAGTAAAGCCAACAAGTTGGGGGTGGAGTAATGAAAAAAAAAGTRGCAGCCCGGCATGGTGGTACACGCCTGTTATCCCATTGGCTCCCAGGCTGAAACAAGAGGAGTTCTAAGCCAGCCTCAGCAATCGCAAGGCACTAAGCAACTCAGTGAGACCCTGTCTCAATAAAACACAAAATAGGGCTGGGGATGTGGCTCAGTGGTTGAGTGACCCTAAATTCAATCCCTGGTCTCCACTGGCTCAACCCTCACCAAAAAAAAAAAAAAAAAAAAAAAAAAAAAGAACAAATGGCAGATGATGAAGTCAGAACAGCAATAATAATGACATATCCGGGATTTCACAGAATGGTTTGGGTACACTAAAAATAAGGCAGAAGCTTTAGGATTAAATTCTATTTTTAAAAAAATCTCTAAATAACATGTCTACTTTCCAAAGTACAAGAGTATTTTTCTTATTAAGAATCATTTATTCATTTCTAGAAATAAAGAGTAAGAAAAGGAATCAAGTATATTTGATATAGGAGTTATCTAAAAATGATACACTGTGCTTTTGCTAATTTTTAAAATACAAAAAAAAAACTGATTAGTCCTGTATTTGATTTTGCTTTTCCCTGAAACCAGTATATAGCCCAAAAAATGAAGTTTTCACAGTTCGATTTTACTGTAAGATTTCCCAAAACTGACCCTTCATGCCAAAGACTGACATGTGAAAATAAATAAGAGATGTGAAAATACAAAAGGGACATAAGCTCATTACCTGCCATTCTTTACCCCTCAAATCTAAAATCCAGTCACCGTACATTTTTAATTCTCTGAACTTTGCTCTTTCCTGCCTCAGTACTTCTAGCATGCATCATTCCCTTAGTCCAAAACTCTTCCTTACTCCTTCATCTAAATGACTCCTGAACTTCTTTGAAAATTCAGCTGAAACAAACTCAAGAAAATGAATTATCTCCCTCAAAATGGATTAGACATTAGGCCCATACTGGCCCAACAGCTACATGCTCCATGATGGCAAGAATTCAACTATTATGCCACATACCACACTTCTAAGAAGAGCCCAGAAGTGGAAGGTCAGGGTTCAAATCCTGGGTGTTTCTTTAACTATGTGACCTTGGTCAAATTCCTTAACCTCTCTACTGGACAGTTTTTTCTTCTATAAAGAACAAATGGCATATCTTATATACAGAGATATGATAAATTGTGGTATAAAGGTGTATTAAGAATTATAATGTAAAAAATAATAATAAGAGAGCTCATGTAAAAAAATGTAAAATAGATTTGACTATTTTGACAAATGTAAATCATTTGACTTAATATTTTCATTACTTGTATATATAAACACTTATATATTTATTCTTAAAAAAAAGAAAAGAAAGAACAAATGCCTGGCCCATTAATTAAAATTATAATTTTTAAAATGAAAATTAATTAAATTTTTAATTAAAATTAAAAACTAAAAATGTAATTTTTAAAAATTAGTTGCCTGTAATCCCAGCAATTCGGGAGGCTAAGGCAGGAGGCCAACCTCAGCAACTTGACGAATCCCTGTCTCAAAATAAAAAATAAAAAGGGCTGGGGAGGTGGTTTGGTGGTTAAGCACCCCTGGGTTCAATCTCTAGTACAAAAAAAAAAGAAAAAAGAAAAAACACCAGAGAGAACAATAATAGCAATAATAGTACCTACACTTGCTACTACTGTCAGGATTAAAAATACAATTTTAATTGTACTTAATTTAACTGCACTTCAATTAACAACTTAATGTAATTATAATTAACTTACATGTAATTGCATATACCTTGTAAATAAAGTCTGTTGTCATTCTTTGAACAGTAAAGGAACATATAAGAACAACTAGAAATAGAAAAACCTTTTAGAACTTACTCTTTTTCTCAGATTCTGACATAAACATTACTGCCATATCAAACCTTTTTAGTTCAGAAAGTCTTTGTAAGATTTCAAAAATAAGTGATGGCTTTTCTTTCCTGAAATAATCCAAAAAATAAAAACCAATAATCAGTTAAAAGTAACTCATTTAATTCTGTTTACTAATACAATATTTCTAATTATACACAAGTAAGATTGTCACTTTTTATATTTTCCCTGGATACTGTTTATATTTTAAGTCCCCAAATGATAAAATTTCTCAAAATCAGCCAAAGAAATTATAATATTCTTAAATGAGAGCTTAGTACAGAGAAACCATTATTCTAATGCTGGTCATTTCCACATCCTACTTTTCTACAAAAAAAATTAAATCCACGGCTGGAGTTGTGGTTCAGCAGTAAAGTGCTCACCTAGCATGTGCGAGGCACCCTGGGTTTGATCTTCAGTACCACATAAAAATAAATAAATAAAATAAAGGTATTGTACTCAACTACAACTAAAAAAACAGGAAAAAAAAAAAACCCACATTTTCCTCCCACTTAAGCTTTCACGCTTTTGTCTATACTTGTCATATCTTTATAACTTCTGTAATGTTAAAATTTACTAGAAAGTTAATTTTGCTATGTATAAAATATTAATGTCAAAGAATTAATTTTCCAAATCACAGTATTACAATATGACAGCATAATTAAAATATTCAACTTACTCAATGTAAAAGTCATGCAGAATTTTAATGATTTGGTTGAATATATCTGGATCTAGATTCTTCTGAAACAACTTAGGATACAAGGATGGTTCAATTTGCTTGGGAAAAACAGAAAATTAAATTGTGGCAACATTCACATTGCACAAATTATTTACAAACTGTTTAAATAAAAGTAGTAAGAATAATTATAGGGCTGGGATCATGGCTCAGCGGTAGAGCGCTCGCCTAGCATGTGCGAGGCCCGGGGTTCGATCCTCAGCACCACATAAAAATAAACAAAATAAAAGTATTATGTACAACTAAAAAATAAATATTAAAAAAAAGAATAATTATAATGCATTAATATCTAATAAATATAAATGGGACCACATTTAAATGCAATTCTGAGAGAACAACAGATAATCTATTTCAATAAGGGGAAAAAAAATAATCACATGAACATACAGACACCACTCTACAAGGGACAACCTGTACTTTCAAAGAGGAAGAACTAGATAGAACTAGAAATATTTAAAAGGAAAATTAAATGAAATAATAAATTTGAAATGACAGTTTATTACCTAATTCTAAGGGAGTTAGATACTATCATTATACTTGAAAAACACTATGTTAATCTATTATTCAGTTCTATTCTAATCTATTATTTAGTGCTTTTTAATCATAAGAACTAAAGTTCTTATGATTCAATTCTGTATCTTGGAGCAAATAAAAGCTCATTTGTTTTCAGAAAAATAATTGTCTAAACATTGCGAATTACTTGACACACAGAAGTCATTCAATGTATTTCAGCTTGAAGGATGAAAGATTAAGCATAAGCTATATGAGAAATAAAATTACACTGAGTTATTTTAGACATTAGAATTTAATACAGAACCTATTTCCAAAGTTAAAAACCAAGGTTCCCTGGTTGCAAATATTTTTAAATGTTCTGGCAAGATGATGATATGTATTAAGCAAGGGGAAATGCATTTTCTAATATTATGTCATTCAAAAAGCAAATATTATAGCACTATTATACAGTGACAAAAGTTCTTGGACCTTTTACTTCCAAGAATTACTAGCTTCCTCTCTCTTACCTTTAAATACTGATACAACATATCTGGAGAACCTTTCAGATGTCTGAAATCAGATTCAAGCTGGAATGAGTTGGCAGGAACTGGAGGCAGAGCAGATGTGACAAACTTAGCAGGTACTTGTTCTCCCTTTATAGAAATTTTCTCACTCAAAGACTGGCTAATGTCCTGTTTCAAACTGACTCGAGGTCTGAAATATTTCAGAGGCATCAATCAAACAATTAGAAATGAATCATAAATAGTCAAAGCTCAATAAAGAAAATTGCACTAAAGATTTTTAAATTTCTAATGTATTAATGTTATTTATTTGTATTCTACAAGTATTAAATTCTTTTGACTAATAATATATATATAGTTTTGAAAAAAAAAAAAGACTATGCCCTTGCAAATTTTCATATTCTAGCTATACAATGACTATTCTCATCTGTTAGGTCACTAGCCCGGTCAGCCTTTGAGAATACCATCTCTACTGTAGGACTGCATCAAAAAAAAATCTCACAACTCAGCCTTTCAGAAATACAAACTATCAGTTACAAGATATTTCTAAGAAGAAAATGCTTCTTCCTTTTGTTTTACAAAAGCTACCCAATTACTATATTCTCATCAATCCATATTATCTCTTCAAGTAAAATTATCACTAATGTTCAAAGTTTAAAATAAAACAAAAAAGTGAAAATTCACAGGTTTGCTGAATGTCAATGTAAGACTAACTATAAGATCATATGTGGGCTTGGATTATGGCTCAGTGACAGAGCACTTGTCTAGCACCAGGTTCGATCCTCAGCACCACATATAAATAAATAAATAAAGGTACATCAACAACTAAAAAAAAAAATTATATGTAATACTAAACAGTAACGCAAAATAAACCTAATCAGTCTGTATCATCTATATTTTCATATTCAGGAAACTCATGGAATTATTTAATCCCAAAATTTAAAGAGTGCCCAACAGTCTTCAATATTAATGGGTATAGAAAATAGGGGCTAGCCTTCAATAGATGAATGGATTAAAAAATGTGGCATATATACACAATGTAATATTACTCAGCAATTAAAAAGAATAAAATCATGGCATTTGTAGGTAAATGGATGGAGTTAGAGAAGATAATGCTAAGTGAAGTTAGCCAATACCAAAAAACCAAATGCCGAATGTTTTCTTTGATGTAAGGAAGCTGATTCATAGTGGGATAGAGAGGGGGAGCACGGAAGGAATAGACAAAACTCTAGGTAGGGCAGAGGGGTGGGAGGGGGCATGGGATAATTAATGATGGTTGAATGTGATGATCATTATTATCCAAAGTACATGTATGAGGACACAAATTGGTGTGAGTATACTATGTATACAATCAGAGATAAGAAAAATTGAGCTCTACATATGTAATAATATTTGTAATGCATTCCGCAGAAAGAAAGAGAAAGAAAGAAAGAAAGAAAGAAAGAAAGAAAGAAAGAAAGAAAGAAAGAAAGAAAGAAAGAAAGAGGGGCTAAGACTGGGGCTCAGCGGTAGAGCGCTTGCCTAGCATGTTGGAGGCTCTGGGTTCGATCCTCAGCACCACATAAAAAGAAATAAAAAACAAAGGTATTGTGTCCAACTACAATTAAAATATATATCTTTTTAAAAAAAGAAAATAAAGGTAATATCTTGGGCTGGTTTTGTAGCTCAGTGGTATTGCATTTATCTAGCACATGTGAGGCACTGGGTTTGAACTTTGGTACCACATAAAAAAATAAGGAAACAAAATAAAGGTATTATGTCCAACTACAACTAAAAATATTTTAAAAAAAGAAAAGTAGTATCTAAATTCTGCATTTTTTTATGGATATTCCTTTTAAAAAATTAAAATTTTTTGTTCAATTAAATAGTAAAATATATACACTGAAGTTCTAGAAAAGAAAATCAACAAAATCAATTTGATTAAGGCACTTTCTTATATCTACATTATATCTGAAAACTCTGCTCCAATAAAGGAATAAGTGATTACTGTTAAACAAAATCTTTCTCACAGTAAAGACAAATAAAAGAAAATTAGAACCTAAAGTGAGACAGTTCAAAAAACTGCAGTAAGTCAAAAGTCTTCTTAGTAATATCAATTTTCTACTGGAATTACTGTCATTCTAGATGATTAGCAAATAACAGTATTTCTACTCACGGCAAGGCTGAAGTATCATTGATTTCTTCTATTTTCAAAACTTTTGCTCGTGGAGTATCACTTGGGGGCAAAAGGTCATCTTGGCTTGAATTCTTCTTACTAGCAGTGCCTGTGGCTGCTATTACGTTTGCTAGATTAATAGGATTACCCTCTGGAGCAGCAGCAGTAGTGCTATCTGGCACATCAATAGTCTGTATCAAATTACCAGTTTCTTCAATAATAACCTTCTTGAGTGGTTTCTAAAACAATTAAAATCAATTCTTTAAATCAACATATTAGCGGTTTCCCATTTTAAGGTCACAAGTTAAAAGGTGCTGTGTTCTTACAGCTAATATCCCAGTTATAAGTAAATTCAATTTGGTGGCTAAACAAACATAGGAATTACATTCTGAGAATACAAAGAATAAAAAGCTATGCACCTATCCTACACAAGATTTAAATGGAAAAGAAAGACACAAATGCGTAAGTAATTCCGAGGGAATGGATGTGCATAAAAGAAGAAAGCACAAAATGCTAAGAGAACTCAGGAAGGAAAAGTAAACAGTGGAATCAGGGAAGCCTTCACAGAAGGAAACAGCACAGGGGAATGGCCAAGGGCAAGGCTGCTACAAGACCAAGGGCAGGGAAGCAGTCCAGTATGGCTGTCACAAGGGCAGTGGTGGTACAAAAAAAGCCTGAGAGGCTGCTTAAGGACAGTTAATACAGAGACCTATGTGCCATGTCAAGGAGTCTGGACTTGATCCTTGAGGCAATAGAGCAAAGAAAATATAATAACACAATACCAGCATGGTTTAACTTCAGGCAAGTAGAATAAGACAATAATACATTGTATCTGAAACAGACTAACTACAATCTCTGCATATGTAGTAGATGAATTAAACCAGCCCTGGATTATAGATTTGCCAAATAATACTTACAAAATTGGTCAGTGTTATCCATAATGGTTTTCTAATTTAAAATAAATGGCAGTCACTATTTACTTTGATCATTACAAGTATCAAATATTTTCAATTTCTCTTATACTTATGGTATTATTTTATATTTAGTAAAACAAAACACTATTCTTGACTATATCATCACACCAGACATTAAGGAGCTACTACTATACCACGAGGGGTTTTTGAAAATAAAAAAGGCAAGAAAGCTCCTTCTAAAATTGACAAATATTGATAAACAGTTGTAGCTATAGTAAAATAGTTTACTCTATTTTTGTATATATTCCAAATCTGATTTTAAAGAGAAAAACTTAACATGCTCATACTGTTCATTTCAAATGCATAGTTGAATTATAAATGAAAAATTATGAGTATTAAAAACTTCTGACATACAAATTACATTCAATGTCAAAACTAGACATTCTATTAGCATGGCTAAGAGCTAATGGTAGCAACTAAGTGTTTCTACATAAAAAAAGCTAAAAAGCAAATTTGAAACACAATCCTCTTGGCAATTCTGTTTTAAAGGACAGTTATATTAAGACCTTTTCCTTGATGATAACTGTATCAATTAGTTTTCTATTAAGACATTGACCAAGAATGGACACGTGTTAGTATTAAAAATGTATGAATATACAATAAATTCTACTATGTATAATTATAACATGCTAATAAAAAAGTAGATGATGAAAAATAAAAGCAACAGTATGAATTAAGTCATTGTGGTCCATTTAAAGCCAAATTCTTTCATTGACAAGACATGTATAAACATGATTCTAATTAATGTTTTTCTTAATGGTCTCTAACCCATGTACTCTGAGAGTCACTGAGGACCACTGATGACAGGGGCAGGGGTTGCAGGTAGAGCATGCTGGTTATAGTTATAAACTATAAGATACTGTTACTGAAAGAAAAAAAAAAACTAAGAAAATATAAAAGGTTTAATCCACTCATTTTTAAAAACTATGGCTCAAAAGTGTAATATTTATTTAGTTCTGTATTTTGGGCATTTCAAGGGAAAATAAAGAACAAACTGTAAGTCAAAAGAGATAATGGGTCCAGGGAGAAAGGTGAACTTTTGACAGGGAGAAAGGTGAACTTTTGATGTGGAGAAACAAAAGTGTTTTTGTTTTTTAAATAATAGTTTAGCAGATCAGGAAAAACTTTAATTTACTACCACCTAATAGGTTCCTGTGGGCCCCTGGTGAGATTTGCTGAAAGTACTCCCAGGCTCCCAGGCCCTGAAGCAGACTCTCCTGGCCTATCCTCTCACTTGAATAACCCAAGGCACGCACACTCTCTTCTCTCTCTCCACCATCCCACACTACTTCCCTTCATATAACTAATCTGAATTATTCTACATTTAAGGAGAAAACTCAAAAATAATAAGGTTTAGATAACTTGTTTAAGATTTCAAAGTTTATAAAGTAGGGCTCAAATCAAGTCTCAAAGGTATTATACCAAACTTCTAACTTCTGTTTTTTTAAATAATCATTGCCCATTTATTATCGTAGAGATCTATTATAAAAATAAACGGCAATTATTTCCCTTCTCAGTAGGATACTAATTTTCTTTGTGTTAGATTATTTATAAAATACTACCAGCTCTCTTATTTCATAAAGATTTTGAGATACTGTCACAGAATAAATTCATGCTACATTTTCATAATTATTAATATAAACTGATTTTTAAAGTCAAGGAGAGAGAACCTAACAAATTTATGAAAGTTGTTCAGGTATAATCGTCATGAGACTTTACATATACTGATACTTGATTTATCCTATGGCAAAATCTTTATAATTATGGACAGCAATGACTATCAAAGGACTTTTTTAAGTGTGCAAATTAATTTTTGTGAAAAAGTCTTATAAAGATGTAAGTTTCCAGGAATGGTGGCACACACCTGTAATCCCAACAACTTGGGAAGCTGAAGCAGGAAGATTACAAGTTTCAGGCCATCCTTAACAACTTAGTGAGACCCTCAACAACTTAGCAAAACTCTGTCTGAAAATTCAAAAAATAAAAAGAGCTGGGGATGTAGCTTATCGGTAAAGCACCTGGGTTTAATCTCCAGTACCAAAAAAAAAAAAAAAAAAAAAGATTTGAAAGTTTAAATCATATTTACTAAAAAAGAACAGAATAGCAGCAAATGAATATAATACATGAAACAATTAATACAATATAATACCCAGAAACAAAGAATCATGCCTGGCACTTGAAATACATGAAACCAGTATTAGCCAGAAAATACATGAATGCAAACACAGCAGGAACACTGGGAAAGTATTAAATTAAGAAATCAACTATCTGAAGTTTGTTTTGATGAATATAGCAAAAACAAACTTCCTGTCCTTTATAAAAGGGGGATAAAAATACCTGCTCAAACTTCCTTATAAAATTATTATTTCTAGCAAAGACTCAACCACTAATAACTGTTACTTCTGTGGGCCAGAGAAAGGATCTTTATCAGTAATGGGCACATAATAAGGTTTTTGGGGAAAGAAACTTTCAATTTCCCTGATCTGGTTGGTAGTTTTATGTGTGTTCACTTTATAATTATTGAATCTTAATTTTTGTTGTGTGTTTTTTGTATGTATTTTATATCTTACAATTTTGATTTTACAAACACATATACTAAAAGTACTATATAAATGTTAGAATTACCACTTAGTCACATCACACATATATAACATATATGTTTGCCTTAAATGAATTCAACTTTAGAGGTTCAATATAGACCTGCTAAATTCATGCTACTCTTTCTGTTCCAATATTACAGGGAAAAACTAGCCTTGTTGGAATTAATGATAAACTACAGTATGCCCAAATAATGTGCAAGCTATTGCAATGAGAACTCAACCTCAGAAAAAAGGAGTAATAAAATAAAAAACATTTTATTGCTACAAAATGTAAAACTGGCCAGGTACACTGTAATCCCAGTGGCTGGGGAAGCTGACACAGGAGGATCTCAAGTTCAAAGCCAACCTTAGCAACTCAGCAAGACCCTGTCTCTAAATAAAACACAAAAATGGACTGGAGATGTGGTTCAGTGGTTAAGCGCCCCTGGATTCCATCCTTAGTACCAAAGAGAAAAAGAACATATGTAAAACTGTTCCAAATTTTTATAAGAAAATTGTGTAAAGATATTTAAATAAAATACTAAATTAAGTTACTCTAGAAATATAAACATTTGAATTTTCCCTAATTTTATTATGCCAATAATCCTAGGAAGCATTTCTTTAAGATTCTAAAAATAACTCAGGAAAAAGCTTTCAACATTTTTTTTTAGTTTGTTTTTTCAACAGTTTGCTTCTAATTCTATTAATAAAACACAGATATTTAAATGACAAGGAGAAAAAGAGCTTTACTTACAACTGATCCAAGATGAGGTGGATTATCAATGGGTTTTACCACATTTTGTCTTTGTGTGGAATCAAGAAAGACATCATCCCAGTGTCCTTTCTCAATTAATTCCTTCAAAATAAATTTGTAATCATAACTATCAAAATTTTGAGTTAATTATGTAACCAATATATGAACTTGTGTTTCAGAAAATATGACTATACTGAGGTGAAAGAAATACCTTTTTAATTCTAGAAAGTTCAGTTACTGCTTGCTTATTTCCAGGTTCCAGAAGTAACACAGTTTCAAAATCTAAATGAATTAAAGAAAAACACAACAAGGGAGTAAAAATATTTAATTAAGTTCAAGACATGATACATTTAGTTAGTAATCCCATTTTTGTCTCAAGAAGTTTTTTTCACTCAGTACACTAGGTAACAGGTGAGCAATAATAAAGACTAATATTTACTATGTGCTGCTCTATTTATTTTATATGAAATTTCATGTAACCTTCACTATAATTTCATTTTACAGATAATACAACTGAGGCCTAGACAACATTGAATTTACCAAAGCTCATGCTGCTAAAGAAGATAGAGTAACTTACCAAACAAAACAGAATTAGAAAATTCCCTACCCTGAAATGGATGCATTTAGAAAAGATAATGCTAAGTGAAGTTAGCCAATCCCAAATAAACAAATGCCGAATGTTTTCTCTGATATAAGGAGGCTGATTCATAGTGAAACAGGGAGAGGGAGCATGGGAGAAATAGACGAACTCTAGATAGGGCAGAGGGGTTGGAGGGAAAAGGAGGGGGCATGGGGTTAGAAATGATGGTGAAATGTGATGGGCATTATTATCCAAAGTACATGTATGAAGACACGAATTGGTGTGAATATACTTTGTATACAATCAGAGATATGAAAAACTGTGCTCTACATGTACAATAAGAATTATAATGCATTCCACTGTCATATATAAATTTTAAAAAAGATAAAAATAGATCATAAGACATTGGTTAGAAAAAAAGCACTGTTTGCATTTTCAGCACCAGGGACTTCAATATTCCCAAAGCAAAGGGGGTGGGAGGAATTACTAACACTGGCAAAGTAGGTTTTGTCAGCAATGTTTGGTGAATACTTTGGATGAGAAGGAGCTTCCAGCATTGTGACTTCTGTTCTTCTCAGGCAACTCCACTGTTTTCTCTTAAATTAGCATCCATTGCTCTTTTAAATATTATGTGGTGGGAAAGTGTCTATATTACATCTATTCATCTAAAACTATGAATTGCTTTTACCACTGATTTCTAAAATACACCTGCACATAAAAGTTTGGGACAATTATTTTATTTCTGTCTCAACTTTCCATCAGATAAACTCTTCAAACACAAAATCATTACCTTTAAAAAAAATGTCTCTCAAAAAGTATGGACTTCTCTGATTTATAAATTAAATGCTTCTTACAGAAAAAAAGAAAGAAAGAAAGAAAATTCCCTACCCTGGATTATCACTCAGCCTTAAGAAGGAATGAAATTCTAATACAAACAACAACATGAATGAACCATGAAGATGAGTTAAGTTAAATAAGCCAGATGAAAAGAGACATATACTATTACAATTCTACTACTATCAGAAATTTAAAATAGTTAAATTCATAGAGAAAATAGAACAGTGGTTACTAAAAATAGAGGGTGAGGAGAATGAAGAGCTATTATTTAATGGGTACAAAAGTTTAGAATGGGGTGATAAAAGTTCTAGACATGGACAGTGGTCTTAGTTGCATAATACTGTAAATGTACTTGATGCCAAACTATACACTTAAAATGGTTAAAATAGTAAATTCAATTTTATGTATAATTTATTTAAAAAAAAAACTCATGGGTTGCAGCAAAAGCCAGATTTGAAGAGGAACTGCAATTAAAATGCACAAATCAGAAAAGAAAAAAAGCTAAAAATCAATTTAAAAAGTACTGACCTCAAGAAGCTAAAAAACAGCAGATTAAACCCAAAAAATAAAGAGTATAAATAAAAAAATTCAAAAATACATACAAAGGAATCAAATCAATTCTTTGAAAAGACTAATAAAATGAATATCTGAGACAAGATTATAGAAAAATAAGAGGAAAAAAGCATCAAAAATAAAAAGGATTATCACTAAAGCCCTCACATTATCCTCCATCCCCTATCTACTGATTCTTTTTTTATTATTATTATTCCTGCCTTATTTTTACTTTTCCTTATCATTTATAATCCAAAATTTTCAATAACATTGATTGGTAATTAGCCAAGAGAGTAGTATAAAGTAAAGACTAATTGGGTGCACTACAGAAGGTATGGTCCTTCAAACCTACTCATAAGCACAACTGTACAGAAAAAAAAACCTTTCTTAAGTTTAGCATCTTTGAACTATGGGAAAGCAACAAAAATCCCTGCTTTTTACTTTGGGAGTCTCATCAGGATGAGTGTGTAAATAAAGTTTTACCTTGTTTGGCCTCATTTATCTTTCCCAAAAATGTTCTTGCAGTTCCTCTTCTAGCAAAAGCTTTAGAGTAAGAGCCATCTAATAAAATGGCTTGTGTGCAGTCTCTTTCAGCTTCTTCATATCTATTGAACATAATAAAATTATCAACTGGAAAACATGCAGCTTATAGAAAATTTTCATAAAACTGAGTTTCTAATTTAAAAAAAATATATATCTAATTTCAATTACAAATTCCCACATCTGTATTTCAGGAGAAAGACTATTTTTTACATTTTTCATTCTCAATAAATCTTGTAACCATCTGGTAAGGAGGGAGAAGGTACCAAATTAAGGGAAAGTTAGAAGAAAGTCTGCTGGAAAGATGGAATTCACAGTGGTAAAATATGAGCTGAAGTAACAAAAGAGTATCACTGCTGGCAGGTCATCTCCTCTCCAACCCTCAATATGCACAGGTACTATGTTATAATTGGCATTAGTTTCCTCGTAAAATTTCACTAACTTTACCCATAATTTGAATCACTTAAGGAAAAACAACCCACAAAAAAGTAAAGATCTATTATGATAGCCTATCATCTGATATTTTGCATAAATACTACTCAGCCACGCAACTAGTAACCAACTCAAATTGGGTTTGGTTCAGTAACAAAGAACTAAAAAAAGCTTAACACACACACACACACACACAGAGAACAAAAAACTCTCAGACCTTCCTATATATTCAAATGACATTAATGAATATTAATTTATTACACATGATAACAGTACTGTGATTATGTATGAAATATCCTTTTCTCTGGAACAAATATCACAATGTCTGTTATTTTCTATATAATAATTCGGTGTGGGGAGGCTAAAACAAATACAACATAGAAGATATGACCTGTTAAAAACTAGATGAGAGGGCCAGGTATTGTGGTGCACACCTATAATCCCAGCAACTCAGAAGACTAAGGCAGGAAGATCTCAAGTTCAAGGCCAAAATTTTAAAAGGCTAAGGATGTAGCTCAGTGGTAAAATGCCCCTGAATTCAATCCCCAGTACAAAAAGAAACGAAACGTAAATAATGCATACATGAACTTACATTATTTTCATGACACTCTGGAAAGTTTCATATTTAAAAAAAAAAAAAAAAATTCCTGTGATTACATTCTCCCCAAGGCCTAGATAAATGCCATCTTACCCTCACAACAAGATTCATGAATAAAATATGAATTTCTATTTTGGGCCACACTTTTAAGAATAAAGTCATACTCCTTTGCAGAGCACAAAGTCAGAGGCCTGATTCTTAGGCTTCTCTCTGCCACTGTTCCCTGCATAACAGTCATGAACTTTCCCATTCCTGCACCTTTGATGAATCTGTACTAGGACACTCACCTTGTTTATTCACCTCACTAACCCATACTACTCTGTGAGAGCTCAGCTGGGTTTGAGCTCCTTAAGTTCTTTCCATGCATTCTCGCACCTGTTGAGAGCCATCCGTGTGCTATATGTGGACTATACCAGTACTGTAGCCTTTGAATAGGAAAATTTCGTATTTGGGAACTTCCTGTGGCAATCCCATAGGCTAAGATCGCCCAAATAGATGTGAATTTCTATTCAGCTCTACCTGGTCCCACACAGCACTGGAGATGGGGTAAGCTGCTGTAGCCACACAACCTCTCAGAGATGGGTATAACCTGCCAAGATGCCAATCAACTTTTGACTGTAAGACATCACGAATCTAGACTCCTTCCCAGCTGCCACGATGGGGTTTATGTAGCAGACCTTATCACTAATGACAGGACGCAAGGAGGTGGAGATGCCAAGCCCTACTGCTGCTGCAGGCTGGTGCCAGTGTTTTGTTCACCATGAACTCCCATAGAATAAGTCCCTCACAGCATTAACACAGTATATTCTAATAATTATAGTCACTTTTCCTGTCTCTTCCTCCAAACTCCAAGTTGTTTAAAAAAACTATATATTTAATATCTGCACACTTAATATTTCCATAGCACCTACCAGGACAACTGACAGATTTTGGCTCAATAATTGTTTGCTAAATAAATCAGAAAACTTCCAAACAGCCCAATGCAAAGACAATTTAGAAGATAAATATTTAGGAAGCCATTTTAATTGCATATTCAAAAAGTATGTTCTATTATAGAGCTGAAGAAAATCCAAAAAAAATATTTTAAAACTGTAAGGTTTCCACACAAGTAAATTCTTCTTTGACAATAAACTGATGTTAAGGTTTTTTTTAATTATTAAATATCACTTGTGCACTCCAAGTATAACCTGGATTTAGAAAAATTCAATCTATAAACACCTTTTAGAAGATGTCAGAGAAGATAAACTAATCAAAAACAGAAATAGTAAAGATGATTAGTTCAGAAAACAGTCGTTTCCTACTCCCTTCCTCATTCCTGAGCCCTACACCTCCTCTAACCATAAGTTCTAAGTGTTCACTCTGCTTGCTCTATTTCAACTCCATCCCTAATCAGCAGTAGGTGAACTCTATGCTAAACCATGTCTTAGCCCAGTCTGTTACACAGACATGATTCTACCTTATTTCTGCGACCAACCCTCAACACTATTTCTTATAGCAAGTATCTAATACTATTGGATCCTTTTCCTCTAATCCTATCTCTAAATTTAGATTTTGCTCCAAGAATAGGACCTACACTGGTTCTTGTTAAATCTTCAAGCACTAGCGTCCTATCCCAAACTTCTGAGCCCATTTCTGATTATTTTACTATCTCTTCAGAGCTTCTGAAGCTCACCACCCATCAACCTCCATTTCACAACCTGCCAGCTCACAGACACTCGACCACTGCAACTCAAGGATCTCTTGCTGAGCTTCTTAACACCACTCACCTACTCATGTAGACTAGCACCTCTGGAAACCATGTTCTCTAGAAACCTTGACTGCCCTACCTAGGTGAATTTCTCCTTACTCCCTGCTGGCAGATAAGACTGACTTCACTACTAGTTCTCTCCTCCTACTACCAGTCAACCTTATCAGTCTTAATTTGACAGAGTTTGCAGGAAACCAAGCTACAGGGTGGATAACTAAATTAAGAATTATTAAAGTTTGAAAAGTTGTTCCTTTTGATGTTCTTCATCTAGCCTATAATACAAGAGACTCCTTGTAGTAGAGAAAATTTCTAATATTAAGTGTGAATCTAATAGACTCTACAAATAAAAGTAACGTAATTCTTTTATTTTAAAATTATACTCTGCTAGCTTGCCATAGTATATTCTACTAACATGACTGTCAACTAAAGCAATAAAACTAATACAGTGCTCTTATAAATGCAAATATAATCCCTCAGCTACAAGAAGGTATTTTTATTGGCATTATAATCAAACCAAAGAATTCAGGCCTTACAATTTTTAAACCAATGCACAATTTTTATCAAATTTTCATAAGCTAATAAGAGATACAATGCTCTTTGACTAATCAACAAAACAACCTATCTAGTTTTAATTTAAATGAAACTAAATACATAACCAAAATTACCTCTGTGACAGGATTCCTAACCTAAGATCCTCTGGTAAAAACTTGGATGGGAAAAAAAATGACAACCTTTTTTTCATTAAACTTTTGTATTTTTTTTTTTATCATTAAACTTTTAAGTCAAATTTAACTTTCTTTCAATTATAAATACAAACAACCAAGCACAGTAGTAAAAGCAGTACTATAACTTTGTCACCTTTAATCACATATTTTTATATCCTGTTGTAACTGTTATAGATACCTCAAAATATTATTTATGCCGACCACCATTTCAGAATCATAGTAGTAATCTGACCTGCTGTTTTATTTGTGATTATAGTACCCTGTCTATAGACACTTCTGTGACATAGCTGGCCAACTCCTGGGCAACTCTGACCCTACTAGATAGTCAGATGCCAAAGAGTCAGGTCATGAGTTATCACACTAGTAATCTAAACATCTATGTTACTTTTGGGTATTTCTTATCCACACCTGTTTGATGATCACTATGTATCAAAAAAAATCACCCAAAGTCTAATATTCTTATTCAAACCTTCACATATATTCCTTTTATAATTTTTAATCTGTCTACATTTTAAGAGCAATTTCTCATTCTGTAGTGAGTTAATAACCACAAATTTTAAAACTGTATTTCAATACAATTGGTTTTCTTTGTAATCCTAGTTGTATAATTATGCACTTCAAAATCATATCCTGAGAATAACATGCAGCTTAGGAAGTCCATGGTACTGGGGAAATTTCTAATCTCTACTTATAACATTTATAGACTCTTTATAAATTCTGGCACTAGTGTATAAAGTATTATTACAAGAGACACAAAGTGTAAGTTTCTTTCTTACAGATATTATTCTACAGAGCACTTAACCTGGAACCCCATGCACATTAAAAAAAAATGGTTAATATTACAGGACCAAGTTTTAGTTATTAATGTTATCAACTAGCAGTTTCAATGACAGCAGCTCCCATTTCTTATACATGTGCATATGCATAGAAAACGCCTCCAAATAAGACTTTGTCATAAGGGTCTAAGGTTAAGAATAATTTTAAAATCAATGATGCATAAGAACATCCATAAACTACATAATGTAAGACTAAATTGTGTAATGTGAGACTATTAAAAGTGAGAAAATATTAATAAGAACTAACATTTACTGTATAGAACTATGTTCCTAGTACTATACCACATGTACAATTTCCCTCCCTTTTTTCTCTCATTTAGCACTCAAAATTAAATAAATTAAATTTAATTTATTGGTTAGCTAATATGCCAAATTATATTTTCATCCTGAAAAGCATTAAAATATAACCAATACTTACTTCTGAATCTTCAGATAGGCCATTGCTCGGTTAGCAGGAAGAAGGGCATTAGCACCATCTGCTGCTATTCCTCTAGTATAGCATTCGATTGCTCTTTCGTACTTCCCCTCTTTGAAAAATCCATTCCCCTATGATTTTGGACAGAAGTATACAGAAGAATCAAAAAATATGCAAGAAAAAATAATTGAATTCAAATTTTAAGAAACATTCTAAGGATATCCATCAATATTATGTCAGTAATTAAAGTATATTTTAATTGTTAAAAGCCTAGTTCATGGGCTAAGGTTGTGGCTCAGCTAGAGCTCTTGCCTAGCATATGCAAGACGCTGGATTCAATCCTCAGCACCACATAAAAATAAGTAAATAAAATAAAGGTACTAAAAAAAAATCTAGTTCATGCCGGGCACAGTGGCGCAGGACTATAATCCCAACGGCTCAGGAGGCTGAGACAGGAGAAATGCAAAKTCAAACCAGCCTCAGCAAAAGCAAGGCGCTAAGCAATTCAGTGAGACCCTGTCTCTAAACATAAACTATACAAAACAGGGCTGGAAATGTGGCTCAGTGGTCAAGTGCCTTTGAGTTCAATCGTGAGTTCAATCCCCCCCCCAAAAAAAAATATATGTACATATATATAAAATTCATGAGACATATATATATATATATATATAAAATTCATGAGACTTGTTTTAGACTCTAATTAGTATAGGTTTTCTTTTGCACATTAAGCAAACCTTTTAATGTACTTCAACATCTTTTGTTTAAAACTTCAGCTATTGTTTCAGTTGAAATTCTGAAACTTCAACCATACATCCCAATTTTCTTGGTACTAACGACTGAACCTTATTTAAAAGCAACTCTTTTCTCCTATACATATTTTGCCCATGTRGGCAAAATAACCCAAACCAGGATAATACAATTAACAATTTAGGAATGAGGCTATTACAAAGAAAACCGCCATGCAGTTCCTAGCATAAAACCCCAGCAGAGAAAGGTGATCCCAGAAAGTCCCTGGGCAGCTGCAGTCCTGTGCAAAGCACAAGGACAAACGTTCATGGGCAGCACTCCTCCAGGCACACAGGGTAAAGTTGGGCCACATCCTTCCTGGCCTCTCTGAATCTCAAGGGGATTGCAGAGGATGGGCAGTAATCCTGACTAATGATCATAGCATGAGCAAGTTCGCGGTCACCTTTCTTCCCAAAGCCCCAGCATCTCCTTACAGGTGCTTAGCTTCTAGTGAGCAAACTAGTGAGCTGAGCAAGGTATGCCACTTCACTCCCCTACTCCACAGGCCAGTCTGGAATTCCCATACCTACAGCACAGTGACCTTTGTGTCMTTTTCCTCTTTACCTACTATCAGCTCAATGTGTAAGCTAAAATTATCAAACTTCCACAGCAAACTGTAAACTCCCTTCAGCAGCCAGGCCCTAGGCCACGGGCAGCAGATACAGTACAGACCTAAAGCCTTGAAGCCTCATAGCCTTGCCACCACAGCCACTGAAAACCAGTAGAGCTTATTTTTTTAAATGGTGTTACTCTCTTTTCAGAAAAAAGGAGGGGGAAAATGTATCTACTATATTACTTTGCAGCATTCACCATTATTCTAATTAAATATTATACAAAATGTAAATGTAAAAACATTTTAATAAAGGCCCAAATGTTATACTGTCTTCGATATATCAGAAACTATGTGAAAGAATTTCATCCTCAATTTTTGTGAAAGAACACTGTACCAGAATTGCACAGCCCATTCTCCAGTAACATTAATATGCCTAAATATAAATTAAACCTCACTGCAATGTAACATTTATTTATGTTTCAAATATCATCATCAATCATTCCATAAATACTTATTAGGAATCCTCTGTGGGCCTATGAAAAGCTATAAAGGCATTAAATTAAATCTCTTCAACTCATGATTTGTATAGGAATTTTATTATGAAGTGGCCCTGTGTAAATTAATAAGTTCATTACAAGAATGAGCTGTAATTTATTTCTGTTACATTTATAACTACCTATATGCAAATCTATGTTAAAATCCTTATAAGCAGTTTGCTCCCTAAATTTAAATGTTTCTATAGTTATTTTAAAATTTACATATTGTCATCAATTACTCAAATTATGAATTAGTAGACTCCAGAGGTTTTAATATATTTAATTTCCAGTTCCTACTCAAGAAGAATTCTAATATAACATTAAAGAAGACAGAAACTCAACTGACACACACAAAATATAAGAGCAGCCAGGCGTAATGGCACACACCTGTAATCCCAGCGGCTCAGAAGCCTGAGGTAGGAAGATCACTAGTTCACAGCCAGCCTCAGCAAAAGCAAGGTGCTAAGCAACTCAGTGAGACCCTCTAAATACAAAATAGTGCTAAGGATGTGATTCTCAGTGATTAGTGCCCCTGAGATCAATCCCTAGTACCCATCCCAAATACACACAAAAAAATGTTAAGAGTAAACACTAAGCAAAACATTCTTTTTATGTTGGAACCCCTTTGGATTACCAGATCTTTTTCTGTAATGGCCTGCTGCTTCTTTTTCTTTTCTTCAATATTTTTTTTTTCTCCATCAGTTGATTCAGTCACTATAGCAGCTTCCTCTGGATATGAGTTTTCTTTGAATGTTAAAGCCTAGAAGACACAGCAGTCAGCTGAAGTAAAACAAATAATACAAAAAGCATACATACTTGGTTTTAAAATGTAAATTATTCATATACATTAGAATATTCAAACAATTGACAAAATATTTTCTACTTGAATTCTCTTTCTACTAATTAAAAAAGAAAAGTATATATATACACATACACACTCATGTATCATGCTTCTTATTCCCAATTAAAATATATAGTGTCCACTAAAGATATTTTAAAGATATTTAAAATATTTATTCAACAAACATTTTCTGAATTTCTAAATAGGTCAAGCACTATTGTAGAGGACGTTTTCAAACACAAAGCAGTCAAGTAAGATCACATCAGCTGGGTACAGTGGCATGACTGTAATCTCAGTTACTCAGGACACTGAGTCAGAAGCATCACAAGTTTGAGGTCACCTTGGACAACTTACTGAAACCCTGGTACTAATAAAGTGGGGAGGCAGGCATAGCTCAATGGTATAATGCTTGCCCGGAGTGAACCAGGCCCTGGATTCAAACCCTAGTACTTGGGGGGATGGGGAGAATCCACCAAATTTTTCAAATTTAATATTCAATCATTACTTGACCTAAGACAATATACACAATAACACAGTTCACAATTATAATGAAGTTGACATATTTAACAGTACATTTTATTTGTGATAAGTAATGGTAGTATTTAAAAGCAGATTTTCCCCAATCATTACCACTTTTTTCTCAATGTTTCAAAGATGGCAAAAACAACTGTAAGGTTGATTCAAAGGCAAACTGAAAGGAATTTGCAAATGCTCAATACTATAAAACATCAGTTGAATAATATTACAATTACTAATGTTACACTTAATAAACTATTTCCTGTTAAAAATTAGTATTATTTGCTAAGATACAAATTATAAAGCTGAAGTAACTTAAAATCAAAGAAATATGCAAAAGTTTAGCACAGAAATCAGAGCACACACCAAAAACAAAACAATTAGATTAAAAAATAATCCTGCCTTTTGGAAAAAAGTAAAGCAGTAGTTCTAAAGACCTCAGCCAGCTTTTAAAAGTGATGATCAAATATGGATCTTGAAATACCATTACACTGCCTCTAACTTGCAAATACATTTGATAAAACTCTATTAGTACAAAAAAAGAAGTTAATAGTAAAAAATCTATGCAAAAAAACTTTCATTTCATCAAATAAAGGTTATATATAATGCACTTAAATAGCTGTGATTTACCTGATTAATTTTCCTGAGTTCATTCATTGCTTCAAAGTTATTTGGTTCCAATTCTAATACTTTTTCATAATCTTAAGAAAGCAGAAGGTAAAAGAATTTTTTTAAAAAACTATACAATAATTATTTTTGCCATGTAACACATAACTACCCTACAGCAAAAAGAAAAAAGAAAGCAGAACTAAGAAATATTAACATTAAGCTACTGGACTTTCTTCATTATTCCCTAGAATAGAAATTCTAACAGAACAAACCATCTTCCACCAGCTCCAAGAATATTTGCCATTATAAGATGTACAGCATTAAACCAAGAAGCAACAAAATCTATTAGATATCATCTTTATTCAGACTTTGTTATTTATATTATGCAAATCTATTTTTATGGACTATCAGAAGACTTAGAATTTACAAATAAACTAAAACATGTTAAGAGCCTTATATGCAATATCTCTTGCCTCACAACAACCAACAATCATCTATTTCCAGTAAGGAACTAAAAATCACAGAAGATGCTGGTCATATATGGTGTGACAGTACATGGTAGAATGAGAATTTGAACCAAACTCTGACTGATGACAAATAATGTTCTCTTTCCCAAAACAAGACACCTTTTAAATTACAAAAAGGGCTTTGTTCAAATATTTTATGGAAAGCTCTCTGTATAATTAACTGTAATTATTTAGCACTCTTTATTTAAGAGTTTTTAGATAATGACAACTTGAAAAATAATACCTTTTTTAGCATCCTCTAATTTTTGCAGAGCAAATCGAGCAGCACCTCGTCTAGCATAAGCCTTAGTATAACTTCTACTTAAGGCAATTGCTAAATTACAATCAGACTCAGCAACAGCAAATCTGCAATTTAAAAAATTAAAATAAATGAAGTTAATAAAAATCATTTATTAAACCAACACTTTCAAAGCCTGTGTCTGAAATCCCTAAAAAGGGTTTTCTTCACAATTAAACTCACATTTCCTGCCTCTTTTACTTAATTAAGACTATTTAAAAGCAGTAATTCTCTTTCCCTCCCTGACACAGAGTACTGGATGTTGAACCTCTGACTTACATTACTAGTCCTTTTTTCTTTTTTGTGGAGGGCATTTGAGGATTGAACCAAGGGCAACATACTGTTGAGCGACACCAGTCCTTTTTTTTTTTTTTTTTTTAAGACATGTCTCACTAAATTACCAAGGCTGGCCTTAAACTTACAATCCTCTTACTTCAGCCTCCACAGAAGCTAGGATTATAGATACATGCCACTTCACCGGGCAAGAGCAATAATTCTTAATGGTAAAACTTTAGTACCATACTCTTTTACCCAAGAAAACAAGAAGGTTCAATATTACCCCCTCTTCCCCCAGTATTTCACTGGACATCCTCAATGAAATTCCACAAGAAAAAAATACAAGGTAAGAAAACTGGGAAAGAGGGCTGGGATTGTGGCTTAGTAATAGAGTGCTTGCCTAGCATGTGTAAGGCACTGGGTTCAATCCTCAGCACCACATAAAAATAAATAAATAAAATAAAGGTATTGTGTCCATCTATAACTGAAAAATTAAAAAAAAAAGAAAACTGGGAAGAAGGGGGGGGGGGGAAACTGACAGTATTCTCAGATGATATGATTGACCACACAGAAAACTCAAAAAACAATCTAGAGACATTGCTAAAAATAATATACCAAGGTGGCTGCTTAACTATAACCCACCACCACTACCAACAACTAGCAAAGACATACAAGACACAAATGAAAATTTTAAGGTCATCTTCAAAGACATTAAAGAAGACTTAAGGCCAGAGACATAAACTCAGTAGCAGAGCACTTGCCTGCCTATTATGAGCCAGGCTCTGGGTTCAATGTGTGAAAAAACAGGAAGTCCAGTGGTCCATTATCATAATTAAGAATTTAGCCTTAATTGGATCCAGTTGTAGCCATTTTTCTTATAACCTGACCATTTGCCCACCCCAATTTTAAAATTCGCTAATCGCACAGATTGTACCCCAAGCTTCTTCAATCAAGGCGAAGAACAATGTGGCATTAAGGATAAAAGCAGGCAGACTGCCCACCCAGACATGCTTGCTGGCCATGTTCCAACAGCATGCCTTTGTGGCAGGAGTAAATGCTTGTCCACCCACTTTTGAGCATGTTTTTGCAAGCACTAAAAAAAAAAAAAAAAAAAAAAAAAATTCTAATCAAAATCCCAATTAGGATGTTTCAAGGAATTTGAGGCAATGATTCTAAAATTTAAACCACTAAGCAAGTCCAGGAATACCCAGGACGTTGCTGAAGAATAAGAAAGGAGAATATAGCCTACACCAAATATCAAGACTTATAACAGTGTAATAATCAAAGGTACTATGGAATGGATACAGAAACAGAAAACAGACCAATGTAAAGAATAGAGATGAGCCAGGTGACAGTAGCACATGCCTATAATCCCATTGATTTGGGAGGCTGAAGCAGAAGGATCACAAGTTCAAAGATGGCTTTTGCAACTTAGCGATACCCTGTCTCAAAATTTTAAAAAATATATAAAGGGGATGTAGCTCAGTGGTTAAGCACCCTGGGTTCAATCCCCAATGCCAGGGGGAAAAAAAAGAATGTCTTTCTTCTTGGTATTTGTCTTTTAAAAAATTCTTGTGACAGCCCAGTATCCTGCATAAGACAATAACACATTTTATGTTCCTCCACATTAAATATGTCCTTAAAGAATATGATATAAAGGTAGATAAATGTTGGAACATGTTTTAAGTTTATCATAATAAAAGTTCTCTGGATTAAATATAGATAATTAATTTCCCTCTATTTGAAAAACTACTTATCAAACATTGTCACCCAATCAATTTTTTTTTTCTTTTATGAATTAGGTAAAGAACATCATTACTCAACTTTTAGAGAACCATCTTAGTAAAGTTAGCAATAGGAGCATGTTTAGAGCACCCAGATATTTACAATGGTATAAAGTAAGTCAGTAAAAGAGAGTAAAAACCTAAGAGTTCACAGTAGAAAAGAAACATAACAGATGTACAATCTGTCCTATACAATTTACTGTGAAAGACTTTAAAAAAAAAAAAAAATCAGTCTCCACATACACATAAGCCATTCACACACTTTATGGAAAGTCCTTACTTTTTCAATCTGAAGTATGCTGATGCTCTATTTGTTGGCAACACAGGATTATATGGATCAGCATCCATGCCTTTTGTGTAGCATTCAATTGCTTCATCATATTTCCCTTGTTTGAAGTATTTATTGCCCTAAAAGAAAAAATTAAGCAAAATGTTCTTTGTATGAGTGCATTCACTATATAGTCATTGTATGGCAACCCAAGAGCCATGGCAGAAAAACAAAGTATACTTTTACTGACAGTATCGATCCAAAGAAACTAACAAAAGAAAGGCATGAGAATTTAATCTGAAAAGAATTCTACCACTTTGAAAAGCAATATTACCAGTTTTACAGAAATTAGGTATCTCTCAGAGGGATTTTGACACTGCAAAAATTAAACAAATATGGCTATGAAATGGAGGAGTAATATAATATTTATGCTGAGAATCACACACTGACTTCAAGTTATTTCTGCCTACTACTATGAACCATGTTACAACTTCTGATAAGATCCAAGCACTTTCTATACAATTCATTTATTGCTTACAACAATCCTTTGAAGTTTAATTAAAATGTTAATCTCACTGTACAGTTGAGAAAACTGAGGTAGAAGCAGTTCAAAGAGCTTGTCATAGATCTAACAAAGTAATTAATCTGGATCTAGGGGTATGTACTTCTAACCATTATGCACATTGCCTCCCAACAAGGATCTAGCCAATAACAATTTGAAGTTAGAACAAAATCCCTTAGCATGTCAAAGTTTTAGAATTCACATGATTTACTACTTAACTTGCTTAACTGAAGGAACCTATAGTTAAAACATACCTTTTCTTTTAGAGCAAGAGCCTTTTGTGCATCTACATGAATCCCATCCTCTTCTGACTCTGATTCTTGAGACACAGAATCATGGGTGGTATCTTCTTTATCAAGCTCATCAAGGATACTGTCCTTAAATTGTAAGGAGGAGAAAAGTGCTCATAACTGCACATCCACTAGGGGAAATAAATTATCCTTAACAGAACTTAACTTATTACAATATAAAGACCTAATAGGCCTCTAAAAGCAGCAATTTGAATAACCTCTCATGTCACATTATACCCAGAGAAAAAGGTGCCCATGTTTAGAAAATCAAGATCCAAAAAGAATCTGACTTTTAATTCATAAAGCTAAGTCAACAGAATCTACAAATTATCCCTAAGTCACAAACTATACACAGTGAGATATTATCACTTAACATAAAAGAAGTCTCAGGTAACTCTAAACTAATGTACATAACACCCAATAGCAGAGAAAAAGAGTTAAAAAAAAAATTCCTATTTTACAACAACAAAAACCACTTTTAGAGCACAATTAACTCCTGACCCTCATAACAACCTGAGGTAAAATCAATTAGCCATGTTTTTCATTTAAGGGAATAAAACACAAGATACTCAAAGTCACTCAGCTAATAAATGACTTGAGTAGAGATCTGAATTCAGGCTGCCTGCCTCCTCCAGATCTCACTCCCTATGTTACACAGTTTACCTATGTATTCCAAATATAGTTAACTCTACCAAAGCAAGTATAATTATACACTCTTTTTTATGGTAATAAATAACTTCAAAGACTCCCCCAGGATTTTTCAAAATCACATTTTTATCATTTATGCTAAAAGAATAATTCTATTAAAATATTTTTAAATAATTTTACTTTTATTTGACATAACATAAATGTACATATTTATGGGGTACAGTGTAATATTTCAATACAAGTATGTGTAATGACCCAATTGGACTACATAGTATAATACTCCAAACAATCGTAAGATATCTTAAATTAATAAGCATTAAAGTTCATTTAAGCAAACTTGTTAACCATTATATAAACAAAATCCTGTTTCCATCTAACACACATATTATTTAATTATATATGTAAAAAAATACATTGTCAATAAATTGAAAAGCAAAATCAATGCTTGGTTTCATTGAAAGAACATTAAAACAGATTAAAATTCAGCTGTATTTTAGCATGAAGATTCTAGAAATAACATCAGCCTACACTGTAGCCAAGATTACCCAACTCTGCAATGATGATATGTAGAAAACAAAATTGCAGCAGGACACTAAAGCAGCATCTCAGATATAAACTAGAAGAGAAGGGTAATCACCTAAATATTGTATAGATTCACTAAAATGACACTGCAAACAATGCAGTACAATCACAATGGCATTGTCCACACACAGCAAAAGCTTATTCAAAACGTTAAATAAGTAAATGACTGTGGAAAGCATCTCTGTAAGAAGATGCCTTTCAAGAAAGAGCATTATATGAAGACACTGACTTATGAAAAGGAACCAGCTATATAATAAAGGGCAAAGTGACATAGATTATATGTCACTGAGAAAAAAATCGTATGTTTAGAAAATGTTGTTCCCAACAGTAATAAATTCAAGATCCAAAATTATATTTCTCTTTTATTTGGACAATACTGAAACAGATGGCAAAGTAGTTAATTAAGAGTAATTAACAAATTTATGGGTCAATAAGTCTTGATTTCATTAACAAAAATACAACACAACTAATTTAGAAAACAGTTCAGCAATATCTTCTAAAGTTAAATAAATGTATAAACTATAAATGAGCAAATCCCCTCTTGGGTGCTTATCTCCATAAAATGAACCGTACTAGAATGCTCATAGTTCATTAATATAAAATGGCTCCAAACTGGAAACCCAAATGTGTCTCAACAGCATGGACAAACAGTAAAATATCCACAAAACAGAATTCAGATCAACAAAGTAAAAGAATAAACTACTACTCATAATATGTATCAATATCAGAAAATGCAAAAGCAGCCAAACACACGAGTGCATACTGTATACTATATTTATATCAAATTCCAAAACTGGCAAAACTAACCTACAATATGAGAATATATCTGAAGAGCTTTTGAGAGGTTATCAACTGACAAGGTGGCTTCTGGGATGCTAGAAATGTTTCTCTCTCTCTCTCTCTCTCTCTCTCTCTCTCTCATTCACATGTGTATACAGAAGTAAAAATTCAGGAGGCTAGCTGGACACAGTGGCACAGGCCTATAATCCCAGCAGCTCTATAATCCAAGTTGCTGAGGCTACTGCTGAGCCAGCCCTAAGCAACTCAGCAAGACCCTGTCTCTAAATAAAATATTAAAAAGGGCTGGAGATGTGAATCAGTGATTAAGTGTCCCTGGGTTCAATCTCCAGTACCAAAAAAATTTTAAAATTCAGGAGGCTATACATACTGATTTAAGGAATTCATGTATATTATACCTTAGTAAAAAAAAATTAAGCCAAAAAGTACTGAAAAAATAATAAGCATAAGAACAAAAACTGTCATTGTCTCTGGGGGTATGGTAAAAAAAGAAAATGGGATAGGGAAGGAGCACATTTATAGCTTCATCAGTACTGAGGAAATTATCTTTTAGATGGTGAGCTCATATATTCTTTTTTTTATGCTTCAGAACATGACATAATAATCAAGTATCACATAATAAACACCAAAAAGGAATGTATTTTTGGTTATCACATACTTCCCTTCCACACATGCCTCCAACCAAATCAACCCTTAAAGTGAGTAAGAGTCCAGAATAAGGTGGACCAACCAATAGTTTTCCTTTCACAGACTGACATGACTGTGGCTACTTGGAGCTCTGAGCAGAAGGTTCTTAGGTAGAGTATACACTGTAGTAATTCTCAACTACACTGTGTGTTATGTGTTGGAGATGGGAGGCACATATAACCCACTCAGGATTAGAAGGGTGAAATATACCTTTTGGGGATTAGATTTTATTGTCACACAACCTCAGCTCTAAATCTAAACACAAAGGCATCTCTCAGCAGTGTTCTACAGGTCCTTCAGTATATTAAAAGAAGGTATTGTCAGAGTCATTCTTTTCTGGAAGTATCACTAGCTTAGAATCCTGGCTGTTCAGAAGTTAGAGATGGCAGGAAGAATGGGTAGCTGGTCTAACTATAAAGAAGTAAGTATATAAGGAGATCTCTGTGGTGGTATTTCTGTACCTTAGTTGCAATGGAGGCCACCTAGATCTAAACACAATAAAATGTCACAGAACTATATACACGTTATAGCAATGTTGATTTCCTGGTTTTGATTCTGTATTTATATGTGGTTAATAAAATGTAACTAATGAAAAAAACTGAGTGAAGAATACAGTGGGCCTCTACATGCTTTTTTTTTTCTTAAAGAGAGAGAGAGAGAGAATTTTTTTAATATTTATTTTTAGTTTACAGTGGACACACATCTTTATTTTATTTTTATGTGGTGCTGAGGATCGAACCCAGCACCCCGCGCATGCCAGGTGAGTGCGCTACCGCTTGAGCCACATCCCCAGCCCAACATGCTATTTTTGCAAAAAGATAAAACACAAAAAAAGAAAAGAATCCTGGCTGTTTTAGTCACCATTCACTAAAGGAGGATTAGAAAAGAAAAAATTAATCTACATAACTAAAAAGACTTATAATTAAATTTTTATTCCCACATAAAAGAATCTATAATAGAAGACAAAAGCCACAAGGACTCTTTATTTTTTTTTATTTAATCTGTAACTGTTAGCTAACTCCAACAAGATTTTATTCAGATATCAAGAAGCACTTGATTAGATTAACTTACCACATCAAGTTTTGCCCATGCCTCATAATCATAAGATTTTATCCTATTTTTTGTGTTTTCCTCCTTGGTTTTTTTAGAAGACTCTTTAGCTTTGCCTTTCTTCTTTTTCCTAAAATTCCCATTTCGAATAGGAGGTAAATTCTAGGGAGAAAAATAAGTTTTAAACATAGCTAGCAATATATAAAATTCTCATTAAATGATATTTTCATGTAAGAAGTAATTTTTCTATTTAATTTTCAAGTGCTTCAATATACCAATTTACCATCTTTACTTATAATGATAATTATGCTTGAAAAGTTTAATTCATCCTATGATGAATGTTGAACATTGTTCAGTCACAAGTAAAGTATTATTACCTGAATATCCTAATTATACCTTAATTTATAATCCTAGATTCAGACTTCWAAAACTATCTGATCTCCAGGCTTAGGACATTAAATGAGCAGTCATTCAAAGGCAAACTGAAGTCTTTCCACCTCATTATATGCAATATTAAAAAAACCTAATATATTTAAATACGTTGTCTTAAGAAAACTATCTAGGTAATATCTGCATTTCTATGCCAATAATGTATACTAATATGTCATTAAGTAGGTAACCTATATGTCATTTTCATATGTGTACACACCTATCCCTACATATTTTATGATGCTATTTCTTTAAGTATTATCAAATGGTCATCCTTTCAGTCACTATTCACTAAGATTTAAAATATTATAGTAATACAATTACAAATACTTTTTAAAAAACACAGAATTTCTCAAAGAAAATGTTGATAATGAAGCAAATCACTTCAATTTCAGTATTTTCACAAAACATTTTTAAAAGCCATGCTTTATTTGAAAAATAAAGTTTTAGCAGATACCAAATTAGGAATTCTTACTTTACCTCTTCAAGAATACCACTCTGTCTTCTTAGTTCCATATCCTTTTGTTTAATGTCTTTTTCCCAGTTTTCTAAATCCCTCATAAAGTCTTGTAATTCTTCTGCATTTTGTTTCACTTGCAGTTGTAATTCAATTGCTTTATTGGAAGTCATTATGGCCTGTACAGCTTTGAACAACCAACTTCTGAGAAGAATTAAATAATACATTATGACAGTTGCACCTCAACTTATAATAGGATGATATCCCCACACCCATTATGAATTGAAAATACTGTTAAATCAAATGTACTTCACCCTCTAAATTCCAAGTTTTCAATTTTGCAAATATTTCTAGGAAACTGACACAAGTATATTAAAATAAGTTGGAAATCATAATCAGAAGAGCTTAGATGTCCTTTGTATGTTTTTATGTATATTTTTTCAAACTCTAATCATTCCCCTATTTTCTCTGAAAACAGAACTCTGAAAAAATAGAATTTCACAAAAATTGTTGCTCAATTTAACTTTTTTTTTTAAATAGTTATTCCACATCTGCAATGGTGGAACTTCATAGGTTAATAAACCTAACCTACCAAAGTAGCTTAGCAACACAGTACATTAATAAGTATCAATTCTTTACCCTCCTGGTGATTGTTTACTCTCCTGGTTGTTCACTGATCTGATGCCATGGCGGAGTGGAAGTTACAGCTCACTGTCACCACCCAGTATCACTATATTGTACCACATATGCCACACCATTAAAAAAAAAAATTCAAACTATGCATATTCCTTCATTTTCATTATAAAGTTAAGAAATCCTAAGTCAAACCATCATAAATTGGGGACTCTATTTCGTTTATTCTTCTAAAACCTGACTAGTTCATGATTATCCACTATTTCATAAATGACCAACATACATGGACAGAAAACAGTCTAAAGAGATGTTGAATAAAATATCAGTATAACATTTTTAAATAATGTATCAACTGTTTCATAAATAAAAGAGAAGTTTGGTCATCCTTAAACAACAATGAAAGGTGATGGGGGTGGGGGGAATCACTGAAATTAGCAAGTAGCCCATGGTAGCATACTAGCTACTGATCTCCAGGTTCTAATTATATCTCAATTATTTCCTTTACACCTTTTTCTTCCAACATTTACTGCACTTCTACTATGTGACAAATCCCACATGGAGATTTAAGGATGTAAAATCAAGCACAAAAAGGTGTCTTTGTCTAGTGAAGGGGGAAAAAAATCAAAGTACTAAGTAACAAAATACTATGTTAGACAGGAATTCTCAACCATGGGACTAGAAAATTCATTGTCATGAGGGTACTGTTCATCATAAAAAGGCTGGCAACATCCCTGCCCTCTGGATTGTTTCCAGACACTGCCAAAGGCCCACAGGAGGCAAAAATAACCTCTATGGTGAACCATGTACAGATGTTATGGATGGTTAAAAATCAGATGGTAAGCTGAAGCTGGGCACCATGGCACATGCCTATAATCCCAGCGGTATGGAAAGTTAAGGCAGGATTGCATGTTCAAAGGTAGCCCCAGAAACTCAGTAAGGCCCTAAGCAACAGAGAAAGACACTATCTACATAAAATATGTAAAGAAAAAGGGATGGGGATGTGGCACAGTGGTTAAGAACCTCTTGGTTTCAAACCCTGATACCAAAACACACACACACACACACACACACACACACACACACACACACAGATGGTAGGCTGATAAAGTCAAGACAGGAGTCTTGTCCAGAGGCTTTAAAACTTTATCTGTTTCATAAAGGTCCAGTCAAGCAGCTAACAGGGAGGAATAGGATGGCAGAGTAAGGAACTATGAGGGACAAGGAAGGTTAAAGAGGTAAATATAGAAAAGATCTTGAAATGCCAGGCCATGAGATCTCACCTATATTCTGAAAGCCCCATGAAGGTACTAAGATGGTAAAACAAAAAAGAATTGATGACTGTTTAGACTGGAAAACTGGGGAGGAAAGAAGAGTCAAATGTCCTACATTTCTGGCTTGGGAGTCATTTTGAGTTAGAAAACACAATTTTTTTTTTTTTAAGTTCTAGATGGACACAATATATTCATTTATTTATTTATATGTGGTACTAAGAATTGAACCCTGTGCCTCACATGTGTGAGGTAAGCGTTTTACCACTGAGCTACAGTCTGTGTTAGACCAGGACACGAAGAAAAGACCACCAACTCCAACTAAAATCAAATTAAAGAAAGCTTATAATTTCAACTGGCAGGGCTGCCTCTCCTGAAAATCATGGGAACAGAAGACAGCCCCCACAGCTCTCTAGGAGTACAGCTTTATAGCACAGAAAGTTACACAAAGGGGGGTTTGAGAACTTACAGATAACAAAATTTTGACAAACATAGCACAAAGGCTAGTTAATATTTTAGCTGGCATCAACATCAGAATTTATGAGGGTCATTAGAGCTTCAGAGAAGGCTGTTATCCGGTCATGGGTGAGTTGAAGGCACAGGCAGGCATTCCAAGCAAGTTTAGAAATCACAATAATTTATAGTAAAGCCGAAATTAGCTTTTCATGCCTTTGTTGCGAGATGGCTCCCAATCTTAAGAGGGAATTAGGCTGGGTTTTTCATCAGACCAGAATACACAATTTTCAAAAAAGAAAAGGGATTTCCGAATTGGAGGGCCAATGGCCCCCAAGATTATTTCAGTTTGACATATGCTAATTTTGAGTGCTCAAAGGATATCAAAAGAAAATACACAGTAGATATGAGCCAGGCGAGGTGGCACACGCCTGTAATCCCAGTGGTGCAGGAAGCTGAGACAGGAGGATCATTAGTTCAAAGGCAGTTTCAGCAACTTAGGCACTAACCTTGTCTCTAAATAAAATACAAAATAGGGCTGGGGTGTGGCTCAGTGGTTGAGTACCCCTGAGTTTAATCACTGGTATTAACGAAAGAAAGAAAGAAAAATCCAGTAGATAGCAATAAAGCACTAGGGGTAAATATGGATGTCACCAGCACAAAGGTGAAAACTAGAATTATAGATTTGAACACATTTAGCCACTGTGACAACCAGGAGATTGGAAGGAGACTGTTCCCTAAGGAACAGAGAAAGAGGTGACAACATAGGAAAACCAGGTAGAGCACCTGGAGAGCTGGGAGGAAAATAGTACCGTCACAGAAGACCAAAGAAAATAAGCTCAAGAAAATGGAAGAGATCAGCAGTGCCCAATGTACAAAAGGCATACAGAAAAAAAGAGAGTACATTACAGTTAGTTGTATAAAATTGCTGAGAATTTTTTTTTTAAGAGAGAGGGAGAGGGAGAGGGAGAGGGAGAGAGGGAGAGAGGGAGAGAGGGAGGGGGAGGGAGAGGGGGAGAGGGAGAGAGAGAGAGAGAGAGAGAGAGAGAGAGAGAGAGAGAGAGAGAGAATTTTTAATATTTATTTTTTAGTTCTCGGCGGACACAACATCTTTGTTGGTATGTGGTGCTGAGGATCGAACCCAGGCCGCACGCATGGCAGGCGAGTGCGCTACCGCTTGAGCCACATCCCCAGCCCCTAAAATTGCTGAGAATTTTAATGGGATTTTTAAAGGGTGGAAATGAGTTAAATAAATGATTATTGGGGGCTAGAGTAAATTTGCCTTTAATGAAGAACTGCTCTTAAGTACCATCCGGGCACTGGAAGTACAAGGAACAAGAACACAAAGGAGAGAGGATGAGTGATAGGCAAAGTCTTCCAAAAGGTGGAGGGAGAGTCAAAACTTAAGGGGCAGGAGAAGGAACTAAGGTTGGAGAAAGAAAAAGGGATTGGAAAGGAATTTAGAACACTTAAAAAATATTTCACTTTATAGGGAAAGAGGAAGAATTACAGATTCAGATGGGTCATCTGACCCTAGCCTCAACAACTAAACTAAGCCTAAACTTTCAAGTAGTGTCCATGTTTGGTTATACAGGTGCACCTCACTCAAAGCAAACTAGTACAATATTTTGCTAGGGACTCAAAAAATGTCAAGCGCAGCWAGCCCCTGAGATACTGTAGAGGGGAGGCCCATCCGCCCTTGCTGCTCCCGCAGGCACAACTGCTCATACCGAACCTGCGGCGGAGCTGGGTTCCAGCAGGCAACCAGAAACTTCCAGGTATCACTTTCACACCTAGTAACTGGGCGAACCCTGCCAAAAGAGGTCTGGCCCCTCCGTGGTCTGGTCAGGAGGATGACCCTGACATTCCGACCCCTGCAAATCTCCCAATGCCGGGGCGGGGCTGGGCAGCAAAACGGAACGCCCATCCCGGGTCGCGCGCAAGGAGCCCCTCCCGGGAACGCGCTCCCAGGGACGCCGCTACCCCGGACACCGCCGCGCCGCCCCTACACCGCGCGGCGGTCGCCCGCTTCGCCTCGCCCAGACCCACAGCGCGCCCCTCCTCGCGCTAGGAGATTCCAGAGGGTCCCGCGGTGACAGCAGTGCCCGCTCACCTGCCAGGCCGTCCTCACCTAATAGCAGTCGCTCAGACGCGCCGCCACTCGCGCCGCCCCGCCTCCCTGGACCTTCCCACAAGGCCCCGCGGGCCCTCGCCCCGCCCCCGGGGCCTGGCCGGAGCGTGCGCAGAAGTCAGGTCCCCGACCTGACGCCCGGGGGCAGACGGGTTGGGGATTGATGGTATGTAAAAGTGAAGTCTGGCCTTTTGCGTCCTTCCAGTGTGACTGAACTAAACACGAGAGAATCTCCAAACTGCAGAGTCATCCTGACCTAATCCAATCCCAAAACAATAAAGCCTTAAATATTTCCTTGGACCTCCCTCAATTGTAGCCCTAGTATTTGCCTTGCTTTTGTCTAACGTTATGTCATGACAATCATGAGAAAGTTACTGTCTCTATACCGTGAACGGACCGACGTAAACTGGTAACCCTAGCAGCATCCTGGGGTTTGCGTTTTCCTCTAAGCTGTGTGTCAGCATCCTCTATGATGTGTGTCAGTATTAAGGTCTGTCTTTATGCTCTGGCTAAGAAGAAATATGAAGCTTTTAACACTTTTCGCTTCTGCTTCCTTTGTGAATAAGCCATTTTTCACTGCCATGCTAACTCTAGAGTTGTAAAATAAATCAAAAATAATTTTTGGAAGTCCACACAAACAAGCCAGTCCCCCGGCGTCTGTGATCCCAGCTACTTGGGAGGCTGAGGCAGGACGATTGCAAATTGGAGACCAGCCTGGGGAAAATTAGTGAAACTCTGCTTCAAAATAGAAAAAGTTGGGGATGAAGCTCAGGTAGAACGCTTGCCTAAGGTGTTCCAGACCCTAGATTCAACGCCTACTATGGAGGGAAAGGGCAGGATTAGAAGGCCACAAAAAAGTCACAATCAAAACAAACTTTCAAATTGAATCAGCTCTCTGATCTCAAACATTATCCCCAAGATTCAGATCAGTGATTCTTAAGCTTTATTAAACATTGTAATCACTTAGGGACCGACAGATGGATGGATGGATGGGTGGATGAATAGATAGATAGACCAACCCACCGACCTATATAGATATCCCCCCACCTCTCTCTCACACACACACACACACACACACACACACACACACACCACAACACATTGATGAATTCTATCCCAGAGGTTTTGATTTAATTAGTCTGGAATGTACCCTCAGCATCACAGATTTTTAAAGCATTTTTAGGCTAGGAAACATTAACCCAGGACCTGGTCAATAAAAAAACCTCCTTAGGGTCCTCCCTCACAAGGTCACCTGTTTCATGTTGTTTAATTGTTGGGTATCTTTGTATTTTAAAGTTTTAGTAGTCAGATCATTGAATGCATTACCAAAATATTTACTAATGGAATGATTTTGTTGTTGTGTTTGGAGATAGATAAGTAACAAAACGGTATATACTATTTATCTATAACAAAACGATATATACTATTAACAGATCATACTGTATTTTAAAACTAGAAATAAATCAGTTTAAAGCAGATATAGATTTATTAATGTTCTTAACAAAGCAATTACCTTCTCTTTATTAATCCTTGCAAAGTTGATTGAGAAGAGAGAAAAGAGGACCAACTACCTGTTTTAGTAAAACTTCATGGGACTCTTAGGTGATGAAACCTCTCTTTTTCTTCTTCTCCCTTTCTTTTCACATACTATTAAAAGGGAGAAAAGTTAACTAAATGGTTTTGATGCAAAATAGCCATCATTACCAACTTCTGAGGCTCCCAAAGTGGGGAGGTTGTCTATAATGGCAGCCTTCTCCCCTGTGAATTCAGACATGGGCCTTCTTCTTTTATTTATTTATTTTTACCAAGAATAAACCCCAGTCCTCTCAAATGAAGTTACTGTTAATAACTGAACAGCCACTTTCAAAGAGACAGTCTCTTTATGAGATTTACATGTTGAAATCAAATCGTCAGTGGAAATAAACATAAATGTTGATTATTGCAACAGTAAAATGCAGCAATTAATGATGGTGAATTGTTAATTTTATGCCAAAAATAATTATTAAACTCTTTCAAATAGTTTACTATGGGAAGGTCCTGATAGGTAATATAAATCTTCAGAAGAGGGTATTAGCTAAGTAACTTTAGGAAGAAAATTTATGTACCTTGACACTTCCTATTACAGAAATAGTATATATCGTTTTGGGGTTTTTTTGTTTTTTGTTTTTGCATATGACAGAAGACCAAAATAAAGGTGGTTTAAACATAACAGAAGATTATTTCTGTCTTATATAAGACTGAATATAAGCAGTGCAGGACTGGTATGATAATCCAGTGTTAGGTTCAGGCTCCTAATACCTTCCTGCTCTACCATCTTCAATTATGATACAATATGGTTGCTCAAGCTCCAGCAATCTTATCTGAAATCAAGTCAGCAGGAAAAGGACAAAAACAAGAAAATTGTGTTTCCTGTTCTTTAAGATATGCCTCCTCTTACATGCCATTGACCAGGACTTAGGCACATGGCCCCTCCTGGCTACAAGAGAAGCTGAGTTTTTATTCTTGGAAATCATGTGCTCTTGTAAAAACTGGGGATTCCACGAAGAAGGAAGAAAAGGAGGAGATCAGGTATTGAGGGGCAACCAGCAGCCTCTGTCACAAGCCTTAATAAGTATTCTTTAAAAGAATAATGAATGAAGCCAGGAGTGATGGTTCATACCTGTAATCCCAGCTACTCGCTAGGCAGGAGGATAGCAAGCTCAAGACAAGCTTCAGCAACKTAGTGAGATTCTGTCTCAAAATAAAAATAAAAAGAGCTGGGTATGTAGCTCAGTAATAGAGTGCCCCTGAGCTCAATACACAGTACCACAAATAAAAAGTAATAATGAATGAATAAGTAGATTCTGCTAGAAATCCAGCTCACTACAACATGAGGAAAAGGTTGGATYTTGAAATCCTAATTTGCTACTTAATAAGAAAGTGACTTAATCTGAATCTCAAATGTCTAAGTAAAATTACAATGGTAAAGATAAAAATACCTACCAAATGTACATAAAATGTACATTAATGGACTATTTAGCACAASTTGGGACATGGTAAGAGATTAACAAATGTTAGTTTCTACCTCTCTGTCTTGCAAAGCTAAGGTCCAGACCCTGGGGTACAGTACTCTCTCCTACATTTTTGTTTCTCTGCCTCCTATTTATCTATCTGGAAGACCCCTGAAGAGGTCAGTAAGGAGTAACAAGTACTGACATTGGTAGATGAAGATTAAGACTAATCACAGGGAAGAGGAATTGCCTCTCCTAGTAAAAAAAATGAAATCTGTATAATAAGTGAGACAAGTAAGAATGATGAGCTGAGTGTGATGGTGTACTGAAGCAGGAGGATCACTTGAGCCCACAAGTTCAAGACCAGCCTGGACAACATAGGGAAACTCAGTCTCAAAAAACAAAACCACAACAACATAAAGAATGATGAAAAGAATAGCCGGCACATTATTTTACATTCCTTACCCTACAACAGTGGTACTATTATCCCAATATTACTGATAAGGATACTGATTGAATAAGAAAGTTACCCATGTAACCAGCAAGTAACTGACTAGATCAGAGGTTGCACCTAGACTATGTACTCCTGACCCCTTGTCCTGTCCACTGGACTGTGAACACCACAGGATAGGATAGAACAAGTTCCTGTTTGATTTGTCTGAGCTCTCAAATTTGCTATAGGTTCCCTTCTTGGCTGGTTTCTTCCTAGAATTGTGTCCTAAATAATCCGACAACAGGTGAGAATTCTTTTTACTATCTCTCAGTTTGGTCAACCTCTGCAGTCACAGAAGCTGCATCCAGGATGTCCTTCTGTTCTCTGTATCTGTGATASAGGGGGCTGGTTACTGGTATGGAGCCAATAGTCGCCCACCACTCACCTCCCTGTTGTCTGTTTGTGATGCTCTTTCTATGTTTCACATTGCACCTGGAAGATTTCTCTCCCTCTCTTAGTTAGAGGGACTTGGTGAGTCTTCAAGCACTTCACCCAGATACCACTTTCCCCTGCAAGGACTTGAAAGGAGGAGTATCATTCCCAGCCCTGCTCCAGGGAAAATGCAGGGAGACCAACAGTCAAGGGATCCATAAACAAAGAAGAAACACATTTATTTTTTTTTATAACTTTAATTGGAGACCTGACCTCTCTAAGTCAGGGAGCAGGACTGACTCTGTGGAGCCCCATCTGACTCCAAGCAGGCCCAGGGGAGAAAAGCACCACTGTGGTGGAGATAGGGAGCAGTCTCCCTGGTCTCCCATCTAGAGTGATTCAAAATATTGCAGCTGGCTAAGCCTTAATAGAGAATAAGTTATAGTTGCCTTTCTTTTTCTGATGCTAAATCTTCCTCCTCTTATGGAAATTCTATTAAAAAAAACTATTTGGGATCAAAACATAAGAGTGCAGATGCACTAAACATCTATAATCAGGAAGCTTCTGGAAACAGATACTGAGTTGACCACAAAACACTCAGGCCTGGGGAAGCAACCAACCATTACCCTGCTCTGTTCAATGACAGAGTTCTCCCAGACTCTGTTCCAAAAGGATCTTACTGTACAAAAGACCAAAGGCCCTCTGGTTGGTTTCTGTGGCCTGACTTCTTTGAGGCCCCTGACACAGAGCCAAACTGCAGTTTGCAGAGCTGTAAACAATAACAGCCATTATAGTAATCTTATATTTCTATTAGCAGTTCTTCCTAAGAACATTTGAAAACACCTCAGTAAATGTATTATCAGGTTTGTCCTCTCGCCAACCCCCAAAACAGGAAAAGGGGTAGACCTCTTCCCATTGTGTTAGAGGGAAGCAGGAGGCACTGTGAGGCCAGAGGACTTGCTCACAGTTCCACCATGCATCAGAGCAAGGAACCATCAAGGCCCTCCACCTCTTCCACCTGGACTTTGTTTCTTAGTCGATATTGTTAAAATACTGGATGACAAATGTTTGACTGCTTCTCTGCATTTTCTAATTTGTTTCTTTCCTCCTATATAGGCATTTTTGGTTTTGGGGTTCTGTTTCACTGATGTGGGATTTCCTCCCAGCCTCCTCCCTCCTTTTTCCAGTCCAGAGTAGATAACACCTCAGTCCTGCAAGAGTCCTCCCTGCCCTCATGGCCCTTTCTGGCTCAAAGTTCTGTCCTAATGGGTGGAAGACACCACGTAGGCCGTGGCAATGTGCTTCTTGCCATTTCCATAAGTAGTCTTGTCCCAGGGATAGGTCTGGATAGCCAAGGGATATCCACCCAGGCTTAACTGGCACCTGTGGGGAAAGATCATGAAATCAGAGGAGCCCACCACTCCACCCTGCCTCTTTCCCCCAGGCTGCAAGGATCCAGCCCCCCCAAAAAGGGGGGGCTCTGTCCTTTATGACAGAGCTGCCACAGATTTCTGCAGCCACTGAGCATCTGGACCTTATTTTCTGTCTTCGGAAAGAGGAGTTTTCCTTATCCTTCCCAGAGCAATATTTTAAAATCCCAGATTCTAGAACTGAAGTTCTCAGAATGAATATTTGTTTCATCTTTCAGAAGCATAGAACCCTGCCAGGTGGTGGCGCACACCTATAATTCCAGTGACTCGTGAGGTTGAGGCAAGAAGATTGCAAGTTGAGGCCAATCTCAGCAACTTACAAGACCTTGTCTCAAAATAAAATGTAAAAAGAGGATGTGGTGGGTGGCTCAGTAGTAGAGCACTCCTTGATTCAAACCCAGTACTAAAAAAAAAAAAAAAATTTAAAAACTTAAAAGAAAAATTTAAATAGTAGAACCCAAAGTCTCCAACTGATACAGAACAGGAAGGCCAGTTGTTACCAACTGTTCTGTTTCCCTCAAACAGCCTCAAGAACAAAAATAGAGGCTCAGAGTCCCCAAGACAACCTATTTCTAACTTCTTTGAATAGTAAGATCCTGCATAAAATTTCACTTGAGGGGAAAGAAGGGAGATGGTTCTACAGCTAAGATGAAGTTTGGCAGCCTCCAATCTAATCTAACCACTGCTCGAGGGATAAAATGGAGGCACAGCACAATGATCTGTCCAAGCCCTCTCAGCCCCTGAGTGGCAGACTCCAGATCTCTGACTACAGCCGGAGGCCTGTGCCCCAGTACTATGGCTGGCCCAGTACTTACACTTTGCCTGGCCGGGCAATGAAGCACAAGGAGTAGAGTGCAAACTCAAACTCAGGGCTGCTGCCAATGAAAGCTGAGCCCACTTCCTTATAGTAGCCATCCCAGTTAAACTGCATCGCTAACACGTCAGGGTAGGAATCCCACTGCAAAGAGAAGGGCAGGAAAGGGGGTTTGGTGAAGGCCACAGAGTAGCATTAGAGAGGTGCCAAATGCCAACAGCTGGCCAGTAGTTGTTGAAGGTCCATGAGGAGCCTTCAGGGAGACTGGCTTCCTTAAGTAGAAGTACCTGAGCCCTACTCAGATCCTCTGTGTAGCGTTGACAGTGCCAAGGAGGTCAGAGTCAGCAGCCATAAGACCCAGACCAGAATGCCAGGGATGCAATTGTTCCTTATTGCCCCTGTACCTGGAAGAGGATGGTTCATTGCCCCCAAATTATTTGCTGGTGCAGGACAGCAAAGGTTTCTTTTTTGTAAATTGTATGGAGTTTAGCTCAGACTATCCAGGTTCAAACTCTCAGCCACATTTGAAGGACATATGGGGGAGGGGGCAAGGCAAATAATTGTATGTCATTGGTTCTTCTCCCTCAATATCCTCCTCTGACCTCAACCTCCCACCCAGATATGGTGTCCTCTGCCCTCTGACCATGCAGTTCTGGAGCCTTCCCTGGAAGGGAATACCATCTCTTGGGTGGCTAAACTTGCTGTCCAGCAAAGGAGGACACCACGTTCATAATCCCCACTGGGCTGCAGATGAGTTAGGGGGAGGAACAAGTCTGACTGTTCCAAACACAAGGATAGAAAGTGTAGCCACCAACAGGGCTTTTCCAGCACAGGTACTCACAGGTCCATCATAGTTATGGCTGTAATAGTCAACCAGGCCCTCCTTCTCCTGCAGGTAGAAGCGGATCCAGTTATGGAAGCCAGTGACCTTGCCCTTTTTGATTTCACCTATAAAACAGAGCACAAGGTAAGTGGTCTGGGCTTCTGGAACCATCCTGTCCCTCCAGTCTCCTTTCTCTCACCCCACACCAAGGCTGCCTCCTTCTCTAGGATCTGAATGTTCACCAGCTCAGTCCCTTACCTCACTCCCCGAGTCCCTCACATCCCTGTCCTCTCCTCTCGGTTCAGCCAGAATGATTCTTCCCCCTCGCTGATACTAGAGACCACTCTGGAATATTCTTCTCAGCTGTTTCTCCAGGAGCAAGCCTGGCCTGGTGGGAGCCTTATGGGACAGGGCAGTGGGGAACAGACTGTGAACCTCGCAGGAAGCAGCTGACCAAGCTCTGGAAGCAAAGGAGTGCTCAGAGGCTAACTACCTTGCCCTCAAACACTTGTTCATTCCAGATGTACCCCCTTGAGAGCTCCAGTATCTGGTCTTCTTTCCCTCTTAGGTACTCGAGAGAGACTATCCCTCAAAATAGCTTCTCAGACCCGTCCCTCTTGACCTAATAGTAGACATGTCCCTCCCTGCCAGCCAACTTGGCTGTGTATTCTTCAGGGTCAGGGCTGCCCTGCTCCTGAGTGAAGTCATTCCTTTTCACCCCTTCCACTCTTCCTTTCTAAGCAGGGTGCCCCACCTGAGAAGACATGTTCAAAGCCACTGGAGTCCGCCTCTTCATTGCCTCTTGAATAGAGCCCAAACCACATATTCTTCAAGTCGTCAACGAATTCTTGTTCTGAGCCATAGCGGTCTGCAGAGAGGAACACAGAGGATGTTGGAGAGGGGAAGAGAGGTCGGGTCCTGGGAAACAGAAAAGGGCCACCTGCTTCAGGACATCAAGAGAGACATGGGGGCGCTGGGGTTGTGGCTTGGCAGTAGAGTGCTTGCCTAGCATGTGTGAAGCACTGGGTTCAATCCTCAGCACCACATAAAAATAAATAAAATAAAGGTATTGTGTCCATCTAGTCCATCTACAACTAAAAATATTTTTTTTTAAAAAAAGAGGAGAGACATGGGTTCAATCAATCAACAAATGTGTTCGACTGCCCATTTAGCAATGATAAGCAGGACACCCACTGTGTGCTAGGCCCAGACCTAAAGGCTGAGGTTTCAGCAGAGAAAAATGAGGACAGGGTCTCTATCTTTAGAGTTTACATTACAGAGAGGGAGATAAATAAACAAACATGGAAACACTAAAGAAATCATGTGATTTCAGGCAAGTGCTAAGAAGACACTGGAGTAGCCTATGATGACTAGCTAGATGGGGTTGGAGTGCTGTTTTGAAGTGTCCCCCCCAAAAAAAAATATGTTAGGAATACCCACTGTGACATGATTAAGAGGTAGGATCTTAAAATTCTGCTCCATTTGTATGCAATGAATCGAAGAGCTTTCTACTGTCACGTAAAACTGATTAGAACTAATAAATTTAAAATAAAAAACTGTGGGATCTTTAAGAGGTGATTATGCCAGGAGGGTTCTATCCTCATGAATGGATTAATGTCATTTTCACAGAAGGGGTTTCCTTATCGAATGGATGGTTTCCTTAAAAAAAAAAAAAAAAGAAAAAGAAAAAACAAGTTTGGCCTTCTTTTGCCTTTTTCTCACTTTCTTTGTCTCTACCTTCTGCCATGGGGTGACGCAGCAAGAAGGCCATCATTAGATACAGTCCTGCGATCTTGGACTTCCCAGCCTCCAGAACCACAAGTCAATAAATTTCTGATCATTATAAATTGCCCAGTCTGTGGTATTCTGTTCTAGCAGCATAAAACATACTAAGACAGAGGACTTCTGAAAAGGAAGACCAGAAAAACCTTTTTGAGAAAGTAGCACTAATCAAGAGACCTGAAGGTTAAGGAGTTCACCACACAAACATCTGGGAAAAAGAAAAGGGAACTGTAAGTGCCAAGGCTCCAGGTGGAGAGAGTTTATGTTCAAAGAACTGAAAGAAGTTCACTGTGGCTGGAGCAAAGTAATCAGGAGGAGAGGGGGCCTGAGAGGTAGGCAGGGACCAGATCCTTTAAGCCATGGCAAGAAGGCCAGATCCCAATCAAATAGTAATAATAACAAAAATATCTTAGATTGATTGRGGACTTTATGTGTGCCCAGCACCATTTTAAAGGGCTTCGTATAATGATATTGAATCCTCAAGCCAGGTGCATTGGTGCATGCCTGTAATCCCAGTGGCTCAGGTGGCTGAGGCAGGAGAATCATGAGTTCAAAGCCAGCCTCAGCAATTTAGCAAGGCCTTAAGTAACTCATTGAGGCCCTGTCTCTAAATAAAATATTACAAAAGGCTGGGGATGTGGCTCAATGGTTAAGTGCCCCTGGGTTCAATCCCTGGTACCAAAATAATAATAATAATAATAATAATTATTATTATTATTATTATTATTCCTCACATTGAATCTTCACATTAGTACTAGCCTCATTAATAAGAAAGGTACTAATTATTTCCAATTTAGAGAAGTGTAAACTGAAGCAGACATAGGTTATGAAACCAAGGCCAGATGGCATAACTCATAAGAGGTAGACACAGCACTCAAACCTACACAGCCTAGCTCCACAGACCTATCTCTAAACAACTCTACAGCTTTGGGCAGTAGAGAGACACTGGGGTGTTATGGTTTGAAGATGAGATGTACCCCAAAAGCTCCTGTGTTAATGCAGGAATATTCAGCAGTGAACTGATTAGATGAGGATATCTGTAACCTAATTGGCCCATTCTAGTTTGAGTAGATTGACTGGGTGGTAGCTATAAGCATGTGGGATATGGCTGAAGGAGGTGGGTCACTGAGGTCATACCCTGGAAGGGTGCATCTTCTCTGTGGCCCCTTTCCCTCATCCCTTTCTCTCTGCTCTCTAGCTGCCAGTAGTGGAGCAGTGCTCCTCCGCCTCTCCCTTCCACCATGGTCTTCTGGACATAAAGCAATGGACTTACCCACCGAGGACTGAACCTCTAAAACCATGAGCCAAAATGAAGTTTTCCTCCGCTGAGTTGTTCTTGTCGGGTATTTTGGTCAGAGCAACACAAAACTGACTAACACAGAAGGAATTTGGGCAGAGAAATTATGTGATAAGAGCTTTGCTTTTAAAAGATCATTCTGATTGCCTAAGTAAAAAGGTCAATGCAGTTTTAAGAGTGGAAGTAGAGAGGCCAATTTTGAAGCTAATGCTATCCAGATGAGCAGTTGGAGATGGTGTACACTAAGTGGTCGTTGAGGAGAAGGTGTTATGGCTTAGATTTGAAGGGTTCCCCCAAAAGTTCATGTGTGAGACAATGCAAGAAAGTTTAGAGGTGAAATGATTGGGTTATGAGAGCCTTCACCTAATCAGTGTGTTGATCAACTTGAATGGATTAACTAGGTGGATAGTGGCTCTAGGCCCGTAGGGTGTGACTGCAGGAGGTGGGTCACTGGGGGTGTGATTTTAGGGTTTACATTTAGTGAGTGAGAGCTCTCTCTGATTCCTGATTGTCCTGTCCTGAGATGCTCTCATCCTCCACACCTTTCTGCCATGATGTGCAGCAGCAATGGCGCCAGCCATCTATGGACTGAGACCTCTGAAACTGTGAACCCCAAATAAACTCTTCCTCCCCTACATTGTTCTTGTCAGATGTTTTGTTCATAGCAGTGAAACTGCTGACTAAAACAGAAGGGATAAGAAGCAGATCCGGGATATATTTTGAAGGTGGGATTTATGGATGTTACTGATGGAGGAGATGACAGTGGAAAGCGGTGGGGGGGGAAAGAATCCAATCTAACTCCTGGGTTTGGGCCTGAACAGCTAGATAGATTCTGTTGTCATTTATGAGATGGGAAAGACCCAAGGTGAAGCAGGTCAAGAGGAAGAGTGAGAACTGTGAGTTCTCTTTACACTAAATTTTGTGTAGATACCAGATAGATAGCCAAGTGAAGATGTTGAAATGGCCATTGGGGAAAAAAAGGGAAAGGTGAGGACTGGAGATTTAAATCAGAGAGTCATCAAATACTGTTTATGGCCCAGAATTGTGTCTAGAGGATCCAAAAGGAGACACCAGGAATATTCTCTTCCTTTCAAGGACTTAAATGCAGTTGGAAAATAAGATTGAATACATAAAAAAATAATAATAACAGAGTAGTTTCACAAGCTGAATAGTTGCCCTTACTAGCACTTACTTGGGGCCAAATTTTCCACTGGTGCTTTACAAATATTAATCCTCAAAGACATCATTTCACAGATGAGACTCAGCAAGGTAAATAACTTGCTCAGGAGTCTTAGTTCATTTTCRATTGCTATAACTAAACACCTGAGACTCCATAGTTTATAAAGAGTAGAGGTTTAGTTTGCTCATAGTTCCGGAGTCTAGGAAGTCCAACATCTAGGTGCTTGCATCTGGTGAATACCTTCTTGTTGAATCATAATATGGTAAAAGGCATCACAGGGCAAGACAGAGCAAGTACACCAGAGAGAACTCACTTTTATAACAGAGCTACTCCTTGGACAATCCATTAATCCATTAACTGATTATTCATGAGGGCAATCCCCCAAGACCCAGTTGCTTCGCACAACTCTCATATCCAATTACCATTAATATATAATATTAGGAATTAAGTTTCCAGCATATGAAATTTGGAGGACATGTTCAAACTGTAGCACGAGAGTCATACCACTAGTCAGTATCAGATCCAGGAGAAAACCAAGTCTCTCTGGCCCTAGGTTATTCTGGGTCATAGCCTAATCTCTCAGTCTCCAAAGGGATGCTGAAAGCCAGCAAAACTGAAGCAATTGAAATCTTCATAGAGGTGGTGAGACCTGGCAAGAACCTAAAGAATAAAGAATAAAGGCTGGGCATGGTGGTGCAAACCTATAATTCCAGCAGCTTGGGAGTCTCAGGGAGGAGGATCGCAAGTTCGAGGCCAACCTCAGCAACTTAGACCCTAAGCAAATTAGCAAGAATCATCTTTAAAAATAAATAAATAAAAATAAAAAGGAGTAGAGATATGGCTCATTGGTTGAGCACCCCTGGGTTCAATCCCCAGTAGTAAAAAAAAAAAAAAAAAAAAAAAAAAAGTGGCATTTGGACAAGGAGGGAAAGAGAAATGAGAAAAGGTGAGTAATGAAGAGCCTGGCCTCATATTGGAACCAAGGTTCCTGAGCCAGCTCTGCTTCCAACTCCTTTGTGGCCTGGGTCCCATCTAGCCTGGCTGGGCCTCCATTTCTCTCACTGAAAAGCCATCGGCTCACTCCACTCTCATGCGTTTAGCACAGAGAGAACACCAGGGGGCGGCCCAGGACTGCATCGTCTCATGGAACCACTCCTGTGTCACCTAAAAACAGCAGAGCTGTGGAGGCCATCCCACAGCCAGTGAGAGGAGACCTGGACAGCGCCACCCCTGAGACAAAGCCCAGCTGCCTGGAATTCGGGGAAGGAATCTGGAGGACACTGACAAACACAACCCGAGCCAAAAAGTCCTGCTGTCAAACCTTTTTTGGTCTGACTTGAATGTATCTGTATCTGGAGACATTCCGACCAGAACTCTTCCCGGTAGGACATCCTCTCTGAACCTTTGTTGATTTTCTGTAGCTGTTCTCCACAAAAAGAAGAAGAAGAAGAAGAAGAAGAAGAAGAAGAAGAAGAAGAAGAAGAAGAAGAAGAAGTAGTAGTAGTAGTAGTAGTAGTAGTAGTAGTAGTAAGCCAAGCCCTTCCTGGATTTAGTGCAGAAAAGGCAAAAGAGTTGGGGACTATATCTGCCTGATCCATAAAGCAACTTGGATCCATAGAGGTGGCTGAGAAGTGCCCCGGGGTGGGGGAGTCTCATAACCCTGCAGAGGACCCTGAGACTGAAGCAGAGGCTGAGGGATCCACAAGGCTGCTAACATTCAGTCAAAAGATGGGGTGACCCAGGTATGGTAGCACACAACTGTGATCTCATCTATTTGGGAGACTAAGGCAGGAGGATCGCAAAATTGAGTTCAGGCTTCACGACTTACCAAGATCCTGTCTCAAAATAAAGTGAAAAGGACTGGGGACGTAACTCAGTGGTAGAGCACTTGCCTAGCATGCCCTGGGTTCAATCCCTAGCATAGAAGGAGAAGAAGGGGAAGAAGAGGAAAGAGGAGGTGGATCTCCAAGCCAAACAGAGGATTCTGCAGCCCCCAGTAGGGTCCATCATCTCTCCATGACTCCCCTCTGGCCTTATCTCTGTCCCTCCCAGGTGTGCACTGGCCTCTGTGTGGTCCTCTGCTTCCTCACCTGCTCTCCCAATGCCCCATTGTGCAGCCCTCAGAGGTGTCTGGCTCTCCTGCAGACAGACCCACATCCTCAACAGTGCCTCGTGGGGCCTGGGAATGGCTCACTCACTCTGGTGATGGAGAAAGCTGAAGAGCTCCTGCATGACTGCTGTCTTCATGATCTCTCTGAGGAAGACACCCTGTTCGGCCAGCTGCTGGGCATTGAAGTGCTCCCCATGGCCCGTCGCCCGCTGGTAGTTGTTGAGCAGGTTAATGAAGGCTGCATAAGTGGGCTTGGAGAACAGCTGCTCATTGACATAGGTGAAGAGCCTGGGGCAGGAGGAGGGACACCCACAGAGGGGCCTGAACATGCAGCAAAAACTCTTCCAGAAACTTCCAGAGAGCCCAGGGGCAGCACATGAGGATTGGAGGGGGACTTCAGGTGCTCTTGAAGGTTATGCATGAAGCCACTTTTATTCCACTCCATCTCCTAGAAGATCTTCCCTGTCCTCAACCCAATTCCAGAAACCCTCCCAAGTGTATACCCACAGTCCCTCAATAAGGCCTTTCCTTGTCTCTGAAGAACTATTTTTCCCCTCTCCCTTTCCTCCTGCCTGATTTGAGGAGAAAAGAGTAGGAGCATCAAAGAAGGAAGGATTGAGGAGAGACTGTGGGGACCAGGGGGACTCACGGCTCTGGGCAGCGATCCACTTGGTCTCCCGTCTCTGAAGGGGAGATGCGGTTTTGACTGTTGAGAACAATGTCTTCCTTCTGGGCTTTGTTGGTGTCTGCCTTGTAGATCTTCTCAGAGATGCTCTGAAGCTCCTCTTTGGTTATGGCATCCCTGCTGTGGGAGAAGCCCTCTGGGAGGAATTGAGGAAGGGGTGATTTCAGGACCAGAGGGAAGGCAAGACAGGCAAACGTCTGTGTGCATCCCCTCCTGAGCACCTTGGAGAAGCCTGCAGGAGGTGGTTGGAGGGCAGGGGCCTAAGGACCCCTTAAAATCAACCCATGTCGTTGCCATGAATGTCCACAGAATGTCCACCCTGCCCCTTCCCTCTAGGAAGATTCTCAAACTGGTGCCAGGCATCAGAATCACCCAGAAGACTTGTTAAAACAGAGTGGTGAGTTCACCCCCAAAGTTTCTATCAATAAGTCTGGGGTGAGACCCTAGCGTTTGCGTTTCTTATAGATTCTCAGATGCTGGTGCTGCTGGTCCAGGGACCACACTTTGAAAACCACTGCGTGAGAGTCCTTGTGTCATCTGGGGCTAGGCGGAGGGAGCAGACTGACCGTGGTCGCCACACAGGCTCTCGAAATCCTGGCAGCAGTTCCCAAACTCTTGGCAGCGGTCATTGCAGTGGCAGGGGTGGTGCTTGTCGAAGGCTTCGCGGCAGCGGCCCTGGCAAGAGCTGGGTGCCGAGTACAAGCCTGAGAGCCGAGGAGAGGCGAGTCCCCATCTGACCGCTAGAGGGCGAGCCGAGCGCCCGTGCCGCCCCCTCCCTCCCCGCCGGCTCCTGATCCTCCTCACTAGGTCTCCAGGGAAGGAAAACAAACAGGTCCAGTTCCTGCACACCCTTCACAGTCAGGAAGTCCTTTCTGATGCTGAACTTTATTTTCTGGCCTGTTGTTTTTATAATCTTCCCACTCTAAAAATAAAACCTCTTCCACTTCCCTCCCCAGGCCTCGGACTCTTTCCTGGTTACCCCTCCCCTTCCCTGGCAACAGGCCCCTCTCCCTCTGAGGCTAGGAGTCCTGCCAACCTCTCTCTTCTAGCCAGGCCTGGCCCTTAGGCCTGGCCGAGCCCTCCCCACATCGCCCCTGGTGTCCCATCTTTATCCTGAAGGGTCCCATTTGGGAAGGCAGGCTCACTATTATCCGGGGCCTCTTCTTCCAGCTCCAAGAATGCCTCTGGCTCCTCCTTGGCTGCAATTAGAAAAATAAAGTTACCAGCCATCCCTAAGGACTTCCATCCCTTGCTGGGCATGGTGGGCCATTCCTGTAATCCCCACGACTTGGGAGGCTGAGGTGGGAGGCTCACCATCTCTAGGACAGTCTGGGCAACTTAAGGAGACCCTCAGCAACTTAACCAGACTGTGTCTCAAAATATAAAAAAAAGGACTGAGGGTGCTCAGTGGTAAAGCAACCCTGGGTTCAATCCCCAATACCTAAACACACACACACACACACACACACACACACACACACACACGCACACACGAAGAAAAATATTTCCCTCCCCCTTTTTTCCTGGTTCTGAAGTCTCCCAGCCTCAGGGACAACCATGTGCACTGGAAGCAGATAGTAAACAAGGGCTGCAGTACAAAGGACTAGGCCCACATCAAAGAGGATGAAAACTGCATTTCCAGTGGAAGGAGTTTATTGAAAACTGTTATCAAAAAAACTAAAATAAGCTGGGCACCGTGGGGTAGCCCTGTCATCCCAGTGGCTTGGGAGGCTAAGGCAGGAGGATTGCAAAGTTCAAAGCCAGCCTCAGCAAATGCAAGGCCCTAAACAACTCAGTGAGACCCTGTCTCTAAATAAAATACAAAATAGGGCTGGGGATGGGGCTCAGTTCAAGTACTCCTGAGTCCAATCCCCAGTACCAAAACCAAAAAGCTGTTTGCAGGAAAAACATGTTCAGGAAAGCACTGCTGCAACCTGAGTGACCACCTCCTGTGCTCTGGGAGAGGAGGGTGTGGTGGGAGTGGGGGGGAGAGGAAGGAATGTTCCCAGGAATCTGAGCTCCTCTACCATCACACCTAGAATAGCCCACCTCCACAGCTGTCCCAAAGAAACAGCCATGGTACAGAGTGACTCAGAAGCTTTTAGTGAGGCTGCTGGATAGGATTGTGATATCACAATCAGAACCACTAGTCAGATTATTTGCTCAGTCAACAAATGTCTTCTGATCTCTTACTTTGTGCCAGGCTGTGTTCTAAGTGTTAGAAATCTGTAAACTGTTCTGGGGATATAGCATGCACAAGGCCCTGGGTTCAATCCCCAGCACCACCAAAAAAATCAACAAAACAAAACAAAACAAAAACACACACACACACAATATAAACAAAACTGAATCTATATCAAATCAAAGACCAAAAAAAGGGCTGGGGCTGTAGCTCAGTTGTAGAGCATTTGCCTGGCACATAAAAATAAATAAAATGAAGGCATGTGTCCATCTACTAATAAAAATACTTTTTTTTTTTAGAAAAGAAAAGAAATCCATAAACTCCTTAATTCAGCCACAGTTGATATTCATAGACTTTTGTGAGCTGAGCTGGAGTTACATCATTTACAATATTTTTTTCCTGTAGGAAAGAGGTTCTGAGTTGCAAATCAGAAACCTAGAGATGAAGTGTTTCCAAGGCTGGGTATGGCTACTATCTTGGAGTGTCGGTATAAGCAGGCCTTCCTATGTCTGCTGAATGATAAGAAAGGAGAGGGCACAGAGGCAGCAGAAAATAATGGGCTCTGATTCTGGCTCTGAGCACTGGGTTGGTGTTTTTGTGTAAATTGAATAAAGGGTCCGTGTGAGTGGAAGCAGTACCGTGAACACACAGCTGGTCAGCAGATACTACCTTTGGGCAAATTAGGAAAGGCTCAACTTTCTCTCAGCAGATATAGATCTGCACCAGAGCACACAACTTGGTGAGAAGGGTACATATTAAATTTTAGGCCACTCAGCCAGGTGCCTTGTGCATTGGACAATCTGTACAACCAGATGTGGTATTTTGCCGACCATTACCTTCTATGGTTTCCTTGATCATGTGTTCCAAACTGGGAGTTAGGGCACATGATTTGACAATGAATTCAGCAAGTCTTCATGTCACAAAGCAAAAGATCATTACCTAAGAGTTTGTTAAATTGCAAGCATCTGAAAAAGAAGACTATTCAAAAATGATTGTTCAAAAACTATTCACTTAGCCGGGCCTGGTGATGTACACCTGTAATCTCAACTACTTGGAAGGCTGAGGCAGAAGGATTGCAAGTTCAAGGTCAACATCTGCAATTTAGCAAAACCCTAAGCAACTTAACGAGACTCTGTCTCAAAATAAAAGTTAAAAGGGCTGGGTTAAGTGGCTCTGGGTTCAACCGCCAACACCAAAATAATAATAATAATAATAATTATTATTATTATTATTATTATTAATTTAAGGCTGAATCATGGGAACAGTGGAGGAACAATTGCCTTTGCAGGTAGTGCATGTCCTGTTTTAATCAGTAGTCTGAGAATAAAAGTTTGAAGATGTGGCTGCTCTGTCCGCTCATTAGAAGAGAGGGGTGCATTGTGACAGTCACAATGACACCTGCAGCCTTCCTGGTGGCAAACAGATTGTGAGAGCTCATTGCCATTTTTATAATTTTGTGATTTAAGGTGTTGAATAGGGTCTGAGCATGTAGCTCATTGTTACAGTGCTTGCTTAAGGTTCACAAGACTCTGGGTTCATCCTCAGCACCAAGAAACAAAAAAGAAAGAAAAAAAAAGTGTTGAATAACAATTGGTAATGTCACGATGCTAAAATAGAGTTTTACCATTTTGCACAAACTTTCGTGATATTGTTAATCCTGATCATTCAGATATTCCAGGTAAATGGCATCTACCATATTTTAGATTGGGGACTTCTTAGAAAACCTGAGACAAGTGATAGCCAAATACCTGCCCCCTGGCCCTGCCCCTTCCCCTCAGTGCACTCATCACCCCCCCAACCCCAGCCCTGAGCCCTGCACCAGACTGCTGCACACCCAGGTCAGTGGCCCCTTAGGCAGACTGGACTTGAACCCTGGTCCTGCCTTCCACAGGAGCCTCACCAGTACACAGATGTTCGTAGTCTTCACAGCAGTCCCCGTGACGGGAACACCGGCGGTCACATTGGCAAGCAGCATCTCTGTTAAACTTCTCATTACAGCGAGATGCACATGATTCCAGGTTTCCTGGGGGCAGTAAATATTACAGGCTCAGCTCTCTGGGGATCCTATACTCCTCCTAAGGGTGCTCCCTGAGGGAGAGTTCACAGACAAGGATAGGGGGGCCCCCCTGGTAGGTACAGTTATTGCTATCTGCAGGAAAGAAGCACATCCAGATCCTTCCATGCGCAGCATAAGCCTCCTCCTAGCACCGGCCAGATGCTACAGGGCTCATAGCACTGACCAGACTCAAACGCCTTTTGGGGTAAGACCTGTGACATACACAAGAAAAGGAGCAGATATGAGGCCAGAGGAAGAGTTACAGACTGTGAGAAATGAGTGATGCCCTATCTGAAATTCGCATCCATTTCTCAGTTCACCCAACTGCAACTTGGTGTTACCAGAGGCTCCTGATTTTCAAGAGAAACCTTTTTTTTTTCTTAACTGACGTTAAGCAAGGGGCTGCTTAACCACTGAGTCACATCCTCAGCCCTTTTTTAAAAAATTATTTAGAGACAGGGTCTCGCTGAGTTGCTTAGGGCCTTGCTAAGTTGCTGAGGCTGGCTTTGAACTCATAATCCTCCTGCCTCAGCCTCCCAAGCGGCTGGGATTGTAGGCATGTGCCATCGCATCCAGATGGAACCTTCATCTTTATGTGAAAATTTGCCAGTTTTTAAAACTTCAGGCAGTCCCATGAAAAGGTCTGTGGACTGGACATGGCCCACTGGCCACCATTCACCAGTCATGTAAAAGGGAAATAACTGTGTTCCAGTGGTGTCCCCTACCCTTTTCCCTCTGACCTACCCCCTTGTTCCCATCCTGTTCCTTTTATGCTCTTTGATTCTGGTTCTTCCCTCTGCCCCAATCTGGTCTTGGTGGCATCCACTTGTCCCCTGTGTCACATCTTTCTATTCCTTCCAGTCTTTGGAATGCATTCAGATGAGTTTAGGCTCAGGGTGGTGAATGAGGCGTTGTGGGTGAGAATGGGGCTTTGGACAGGATCCTGTTCTGTAACCACAGACCGCATCCCTCACTCCCGCCAAATGGTTCATGGTTCACAGAAGCAAGCTTCTGGTTACAAGGGGTGTAAAAAATATTGAAAGAAACAGTACAAATTCACTACCATTCTTTAAAAAAACAAAATAAAATAGAAAGCCCCACCACAAAGACAGCTCAGCAAAGACAGTGCCGATGAACGTCAGGAACAATTTCTTTCCACTCAGGGCTTTAAGGGCCACGACAGAGTCTGTTTCCATTTGACGTTCCTGAGGTTTAGATGTTGAGAATGCTGGGTTTAGGGGTCAGGCTGAGAGCGTTGCACAAAATGTCAAGATCAAAGTCAGAGTTACCATGAGCATCGGAATCATATCAGTGAGGAAACTGAAACCTAACTTGGTTTTAGTTCACAGTTGGAGTTAGGTTTCAATTAAGGGCTATAGCTAAGAAGTGCCCTTGTGTCAAATTTATTGATAAAGTAACAATTTTGTATTGATATTTGGATAAGGAATGGGGTGAGACTGAAGGTGATGTTTAGGGTTGACAAATGTATCAAGATTAGAAGAGGAGTAATAACTCCAGTTTGGAGCTTGGCTCTGGCTGGGATTCAACAGGGATCTAGCATGCATATTTAAGTCTGGCTTGGATCAGAGGTAAATATTAGGTAAATATTGGTAACTGTTTTGAATTATTGGATTTATACTGTGTCTAATGGGAGATGGCATAGCAGAGAGGTTGAGAACCTGTACCCTGCACCAAGTTGCTTAGGACTAGAATTCTAGTTCTGCTGCTTTCTAGCTATGTGATCTTGGGCAAGTTATTTAAATTTCTTTGCCTTGTTTCCTTATTTGTAAAAGTGGAGATATAGCTCAATAGTACAGCACTTGCCTAGCATGTGTGAAGTCGTGGTACTTAAAAACAAATAAATAATGAAGCTGGGCTCCTGTGGCACATGCCTGTAATCCCAGCAGCTCAGGAGGCTGAGGCAGGAGTTCAAAACCAGCCTCAACAACTTAGCAAGGCCCTAAGCAACTCAGTGAAATCCTGCCTCAAAATAAAAAAGGTATGGGGTGTGGCTCAGTGGTTAAGCAGCCCTGGTACCAAAAAAAAAAAAAAAAAGGAAAGAAAGGTGATAAAATAGTGAAGCCTATCTCATAGAATATTTTTAAGAATTAAATGAAATAAAGGGGCACTATTTTATCATTTTAAAAAAAGAACTAAATGAAAGCCAGGTACATCAGCGTACATCTGTAATCCCAACTACTGAGGAGACTGAGACAGGAGGATCACATGTTCAAGGCAAGTCTGCAACTTAGTGAAACCCTGTCTCAAATAAAATATATAAGGCTAGGGTTATAAATAACTCAGTGGGAGAACACCCATGGATTCAAGCCCTAGTACGGTGACATTAATAATGAGGATAATTAAATGAGTTAAATTTTTTAAGGCACTTAGAACAATGCATGACACATAATACAGCCATGTATTTGTTAAGCAAATAAACAGGGGGAACATTCCATGCCCATCTTCAAGGTGGCAAGTGTTTAGACTGGCTGGAGTTATTGTCCTTGCACAGGGACCCTGCCCACATACTCCATCTAGCCGACTCCCTCCCCAGGTTCAGCTGGGCCAAGGGCTGTGCTGTCAGCACACACATGTTGCTCTTGGTTTCCTGGCTGACATAATCACGAGGAGTGTGTTTTCTTTACATTAGCGAGGTGACAGGTCAAGGTCAACTCAGGTCTTGAGACAACTTATTGTGTGCAGGGCTTCCAAGGCATCCAGGAAGACAGGACTGTGGTCCAGGGAATTGTCCCTAAAAGAGACCAAGCTCCGGGGCCCCTTGTTCCTGCAAGCCCACAGGAACTCCTCTGGAATCTTAAATGATGCTTTTGGCACTTGAATGCAAAGGTCTTAAGGAGAAATTTTCATCCCAGGAGGAAGGCTCCGCCAGCGGCCCACTCGGTCAGCCTGGCAGTACACCCAGAATCCAAGGGAGAGAATGCCGATGAATCAGGGCAGTACTTTAATGGGCCAGATCAGCAGAGTGCAGGGAAGGAATTCACTCCATTCCAGCGTTGGCCCTGGTTGAGAAGGGCAACCAGGGAACAGTCAACTGTGGAGTGAGGAGAACTCCCCACCAAACTGCCTGGACTTTTTCCTGTCTGTTCGGGAGTAGCCCTAGTAAGAACCCCTCACCAAGGGGTCCTCGAATGTCTCTGTGAACTAGTTCTGCTTCAAGGTGACCTTGGGATGTGAAGGTGGAGGGCAGGGTGGGAGGGGCTTTTCTTCATAGACGCCTTGCTGTGCTGCTCTGGGGACACTCAGATGACCAGTCACCCAGACTACCCACTCCAGGGCACCCACCCCGCACCTCCTGTTGACACAGACGCTTTGTGTAAGCCTCACACCAAGCCAGGAGCCTGAATCACGGTCCAGCAGCTTTCCGCCCTGTCTCTCTGCCTCATCTCTGGTGCTTGCTTTTCTTCACTTTGGCCTCTCTTCTCTTGGTCCCGCATGCTCCCACCATTCCCCACAAAGAGCTCTGGTTCCCTCTCCCTCCATGAAGTCCTAAATTTCTCTTCACCTCTAAGACTTGAATACACCACAGCCTTTATTCCCTATCCCTGCATGGACACAGGGTCCCTATAGGCCGGCCCTCATTGCCTCTGATGGCTGGGGAGTCCCACTGTATGCCTCTTGGGGCTCCAGATGCTGTTTCCATGGAGACCTAGTCAGCCAAAAAAATCTTTATCCCCAGGACCAGCTTCGAAAGCTTCTGAAACAACCAAGGTCCTTGGCACACACCCAGCTCATTCGTGATGACCTGAGGCTGCCCCCCACTTCACCCAGTGATCCCCATTCTGGCATCCTGGTCCCAAGGTGTTGGGGTGGAAGAGACGTGAGCAGAGCCTCTTTCCTCCCATCTTCAGAGGCCTCACTGCTCCGGCTCCACTCACGCTTCCCCATCAGTCCCACAGCCAGTGTGATCACTGCCGGCCCCCAGCAGTCAGTTCTGAAGCAACTGCTGCCTTGCTCTCAGGGACATCCCCTGCGGACTGGATCTCTAGTGCCCTCTCCTGAGACTGAGATATCATGAGCCACCACACCAGGCCCAGGAACTCCCCTTTCTCCTCCATTACCAGCTGGCCTGAGGTTCCCAAACCCCCTAACCCTCTCCACCACGCAGGGCCAGGCAGAGTTGGGTCCTGGGCAGAGGTACACAGTCCCATCCAGTGTTGAGGGCCTGGGGCTTTTTCCTCCCAGGGTTTTCCATTCAGACATCCCATGAGGGGACTCCTTATCCATAGCCTGATTGAAAATGCCCCCAAGAGTCAGTTCCTCCCAGAAATATTGATAATCACAATGCTAACTGAAGTCAGATTCTCTGAGATCTCGCCTCTCCTTGGGTGTTTCTCCACATTATCTTATTTGATCCACACAGTCTTGTGCACGAGCAACCTGGGTGGGTGGAACGGGCATCAAGCTCTGAGTCTTTCTCCTTGGGCAGAGGAGGATTCCACCCACACCTCTCAGATGGGCCTCCTCCCTCGACACTTCTCCCTCCCCACCCACTAACTACCAGTTCACACATCAGTAGCAGACCTTGGCATGGTTAGTAACAGCAAAGTGCTCTCTTCCTCCCTGGTGCCATCCCTTACACCGCTTGCAACTATAGGCCAGGCCCCTTCTCTACTCCTAAGCTCCCCTAACACTGGGACCAAGAGCCATTCCTCTGACCAGCCCCACATGGGATATGACCCACCTTCAGGTCAGGGGCCCTTTGGGTAAAGCCCATCTCCTAAGGCTTTACCCACAGAAAGTTCACACCCTGATAACCTCACTGGCTCTCCAGGAGCAGTAGAGGGAATGACCGAGGACAGAGAGTCAAGCCACCCAAATTCAGCAACCACAGCCCCAGTTTTACATCATCTAGTGGCCCCCAGAAGATATAATCTCTGTGAGATCCAAAATCTACCCCAACTACTGATGTTTGGAACTGATCCTTCTGGGTGTCCAGAAGGAGCCACCATGAAACGGGTCCATCATTCCTGCAACTTTCCCCAGAGACAGCGCCTACACTCTACAGACCAAAAGTGCCGCGTGGCTCTAGGACAGAGTTCACCCTCCCTTGCCCCACTTCCCTCACCCACTGCCAAAATTCTCCAATCCTCTGTTCTTTAGGCAAGACCCTTACCACCAAACTCCCATGTTGAACAGACAACGACTTACCAGCCCAGGCCAGGCCACAGAGCACAGCCACCGTCAGGGGGACACAGGCCCTCATGGTGCCCAGTTGTAGGCCAACAGGGGACTGGCTATTGGACTTCCACTAGAGTCAAGGTGGATGTCACAACCCTCAGATGAGCCTGAGTACCCAGGATGATTCTTTTAAAGACATCAGGACTTGTGGATCTGGTGCATCCAGATTTGTCCAGGAAGAAAATGGGGAGGGAGGGATCCCAAATGGATGGGCGGTGGACAGAAGGTGGGGCCTCACTGCTGTTTGAAGCCAGAGAGAAGGTGATTAAGCAGGCAGTTAGTGCCAGATGTTTAGAACAGGTCATGCTGGCTGTTAGTAGCTGGGAAAATAGGCCAGATGAGCAGGCACAGCAAGATGGACCTAGTTCGGCAGGTTCTTTATCCAAACTAGGGACACCCATGGGCTATCTTTGAGTAACCCCCTAAATACTCACCCATCTGTGGTCACTTGTAACCATGAGGCTACAAGTCTAGGTTCAGATTCGGGCGATTAAAGAAACCTCTGCTTTTTATATGATGCTATCACACTCTCCACGCATTCAAGTTGTTGTCTTGCCTCCCTTCACTTGAATGCCTCTGGTACTGGGGAGGGATGGGGTTCACCTTCTGAGGGTCCCTTCACAGATCTGATTCCCAGCCCCTGGGACTATCCAACCCAAGGCACAATGGTGGAGGCAAAAGTAGAGAGTATGGGGGAAAATCCATTAAGTGACATATATCAGCACATACACACAACAGTGACTCACAGATAAACTTAGATGCCAGTACCTATACATACACAGATAAATTACACTGTATTTCAAGCAGCTTTCTCTGCCCTGCCGGCCTGTCTGGACAGAGAACTCCACTGTTCTAATTCTCCCCAGTCAGGGTCCACATGGGTTTTCTCCCCTTCTAAGCTCTTCCCAGAGAGCCACAGTGGGGACCAGCCAGCAAGGTGGGAGTCCCAGTAGGTAGGGTCCTGGAGACCTGGGATGGGGAAAGGGTGGAGGAAGATGCATGGAGGAAGGTGGAGGGGCCCAGAATGAGGATACGAACAGGGATGGCTCCTCCAGAGCCCCAGAGGGGAGATGGTGCCATTGTGGTAAAGAGGATTGGAGGGTGGGGAAGAAGCTCCGTGGGTAAGAGTCTCGGGATGTGAGGAATGCAGATTCTGTCAGCAGATATTTATTGAGTGCTCATTATATGTTGGATGCTACACTATAATTGAACAACAGGGTTCAGGCCAGCCTGGAAAATTCTTTTTGGAATGGATTGTTTTCTGGTGGGACAAGGACAGATAAGCCCAGCATTAGACAGCTGTTTGAAGCAGGCCCCACATGTCACTGGACTACTACTGGTGGCCAAAGGCCTGACAGGATCAAGAGGCTGAGGGAGAGACTGGCCCAAGGAATCTGTTCCCAGGACAGCTCATTCCACCACCCATGTCTTCCTGAGAAACCAAGGTCAAGTCTCTCCAGCAGAGAACCATAGCCTGGAAGGGCTCTGCAACTGGCCCAGCACAGCTAGGCCTGGATTCACCTCCCAAGGGGACCTCGGCACCTGAAGATGATGCATCTCCATCCTCCATCCTAGGGGTTCTCTCCTGGCCCCAGGAGCGAGGCCTAGGGTGGTCCCCCACACCTGATCTTACTGCATGTGTCTTAGAAATGGCCAAGTATAATTTCTTTCCCCACATTGGTTTGAAGGCCAAATGCTACGTTTGTCTTTCCAGGCTTTCTGTTTTGAAGTTTGGGGCAGCCTTGACATCCAGCGTCACACACTCACTGCCCGGCCTGCCCCGGGCACATTTGTCAGAACCGCCAGCTGAGCCCATTCATCACAAAGTCCCAGGCTACGCATCCAGTTCCGCCGGTCCTCTGCCTGGAATGCCCTCTGCCCAGCATCCTTGATGGCTGGATGGCCATCGACTGCTCGCCTCCAGCCCACAGGAGCCCTGTCCATGGACTCAGTCCTAGATATTTGTCCCATGTGCCTTTGACACATCACAGCCATCACTGGTGGGTCTGTTGCTGCCAACACAGCTTTGTTAACCCCAGCACTGCCATTTAACTTTCYATCCAGTTATTTCCTTAGCTCCCGTCTGAAATTCCTTAAGATGAGGATGTGCCTCCAGAGTCCCCGCCACCAGCTGCTTCAGATTGCCATCCAAGGGGTAGATGAACCGTCAACATGTGTCTGGGACGAGTAGTGATCAATGAGGACAAGGGAACCTGGTAGCCCTACAGTGCCACTCGTTACTAAAGACTTGAGTGACGGCGATTAGCAAAGCAGAGGTGACTGGATGGATCCTGTTGAGCTGTCGAGTTTGTGTGTAGTACAGTTTGTATGTTGGGGACCAGCAGGCAGTGGATGGAAGTAAGGCCTAGGAATTCATCTTAAAGTTGTGTTTTCACGGCAAACACGTTATTTTCAGCTATGTATGCATGTGCATTGGGGGCCAATGGAAATTTGGGTGGGGACCTAAATCCCAGAACCACCTGCTACAGTTTAGATGTGGTATATCCCCCAAGGATTTTTGTGTTGGAAGCTTGGTCCTCCGTGTAATGGTGTAGAGCTGGGCCCAATGGGAGGTCACTGGGAACACTGCCCTCAGAGAGGATTAAAGGAGTTTTCCTGGGACCCCTGGGTTAGTTCTCCTCCTGGTTCTGTCTTCTTGTCTGATGATATAATCTCTTACTCTCCAATGTTCTCCTGCTAAGATGCCATAGCTGTTAGGCCCTCACCAAGGAAGCCACTGATCTTGGACTTTCAGCCTCCAAAATTATGAGAAAAAGAAACCTGTTTTCTTTATAAAGTTAGCCAACTTCCAATATTTTGTTATAGTAACACAAAACATACTAATACACCATTCTTTGGCACCACCACAGGCATCAGGCAGAACCCAGGATTCCAGCAGCCTCTGAAGCCACATGAAAAAGATGATTCAACTTCATCCTGCTTCTCTAGGATTCCAGAGTAACCACCTGCCTACACTTTTGCCAGCTATGCTAATGTTTATTTTAAATTGCCCAATAGTGATGATCAAGTAAATTTGCTATTGCAGGTCCTCAAACTTCAGCAGCTTCGGAGAGCATCTAGAGGCAAGGCATGAACAAAGACAAGTGAACGAGACAGGCAGACAGTGACGAGGAGACCTGGAGAGACAGCAAGGGAGCGAGCAAAGAGGGGATCGAGAGAGTGAGACCTGTGGAGGCCAACCAGAAGCCAGGCTCTGAGAGAGGCACCTGGCTGACCTCTTGCCCCAGGTGTGTTGGTACAACTGGGCTTTTCTGTCTTACAATGACAGGACAACAGGACTTGGAAGAGCAGTGCCTGAGCTATGTGGGAAATTCTGCAATCTGTCAAAATTCTCATAATTATCATGCAAGGTAGTCAGGTTGTGGGAAGCTTCCCCCTTTCTCATGAATTCATTCATTCACCTGACAAACAGGAACTGAGCACCTGTGCGCCAGGTGCTATGCTGGGCAAGGTGGATACCAGGGTGAGAGGCTCAGCATCCGGKAGAAAGATGACCAGCAAAATGAACCTAAAGAGGTGATTGGGGGGCAGCAGGACATGATGTGTATACTGTTGATTCTGAAGCCACACTCCCTGGGTTCCAATTCCAGCTCTGCCACTTACAAGCTGTACAACCCTAGGAAAGTTCCCTGACCCCTCTGTGCCTCAGTCTCCCCTACAGATGTCAAATAGAGCCAGTAAGAAGACCTAACAAAGCTCTTGTGAGGACTGAGTGAGTTAATGCTCACAACATTTAGAACAGTGCCTAGCACATGAAAAGACCGGGTGTTTGTTAAAAAATAGGAACACAAAGGGTCCAGTTTAAAAGGGTAGTTAAGGAAAGCCTCCCTGGGGGGAAAAAAATGACATTTAAAACAGAGGCACGAAGCATGAGAAGGTGGCATCTTCTTTAAACTCTCCATAATGTAATATTTCTTCCATACTTCCAAAAATCAAGTTAAAAACGTGCATTCAGTTTTTTTCAGTCCTTTGAGTCGGATGATCCTTCCTTGAGTCACACTGCCTAACTCACCTGGTTTGATGCTGCCAAAGGTAACCAGCTGGTTTCTGGGGGTGTGGCCTGTGGCCTGAGGCACTGTGCTTTGCTGGGGAAAATTAAGAGCTTCAGTGGGGAGCAAATCCGGGGTTCCAGCCTCCCAAGCCTTGGGCTATTAGATGAGATCACCTGCAGCTGACCTATGGGAACCCAAGAATCAAGAGAACCGAGGTGGCTGACCTCTGCTGTGAGCCACCAGGAAACCCTGCCCACACATGCAGCCGCTCTGTCTAGAACACAGGTGTTCCTACAAGACTCAGTCCCAGCAAAGCTAAGCAGGTGAAACTGGCCCCCTACCTCTCCTTCTGATTCCCAGCTTGGGGGTGCCATGTGATCCCCAGGCCACTGCAAAATCCTGTAGGTAACACTCGGGACCTTGTCACCTCGCCCTGCCATAAAAATTTCCTTAATGCCATTGGCTTGGGTCTTCTTCTTCTTCTTCTGTTTTTCTCCTTAAAGTGACCATTAGAAGTATTCCTGAGAATCTTTCCAAGTTGTGCAGCTACATAACAGGGTCCTTGAGCTCAGACAACTAGAGCTCAGGAGAAGGTGAGCAGTCATGCACCTGGGCAGATTTAAGAGTAGAGAGCCCTTTAAGCAAAACTGCAAGCAGTGGACTAGCCCTCCCATGGGCATCCCTGGCTAGAGGTCACCCTGAGAAAGTGCTCAGCGGGGTCTGCTATGCCTCAGCCTTGTGACACACTGAGCTGCCTAAGAGCAGGAAACTAACGCTAAACACTTCTAGTTCGAATCCCTGGATCTCATTGAGAAAACTGAGGCCCAAGGAGAGAAGAGATCTGCCCAAGGCTGCGTAGCTGTTGAGGACTAAAGCTCTGCCCACGTATGCACATTGTCCATTGCCCACCTGTGCTGCCATAGCTCTAGTGGATGGGGCATTTTCTAGGTGGTTGAGGAAGGTTTAAATGTCCTGTGGTCAAGGTCCTAGCAAAATGTCACTCTCCCCACTGGTCTGGCTGGAGCCCTCTAAATGCCAGGAAAGCAAGAGCTGCCCTCTGTTCAGCAACCCAGAAACGGCCCCAGCTATGCAAGAATCACACCCCAGTGAGAAAACTGAGACTCTGAGCATTTTCCAGTGGCCAAGAGCAAGATGGGCATGTCAGGGCAATGCCCTAAGTGTCCAGCTCCCTGGCCCAGGGTCCACACCAGCCAGTCTCCATACAAACAAGCAACCAGAATCCCACATCTCCCAGCACACTGAGCTCAGCCTTCTTCCTGCTTCTGGGCTCCTTCTTGGTGTTCCACCTACCCCAGGACCCCATCAAGGTCACCTGTTCCAGGAAGACCCCCAGGCATGGGAGAGAAGATGCTCAGGAGCAGCTGAGTCAGACTTGGCTTCTTAGAATAATCCAGTTTCATCATCAGTGGGAGTGAAGGTAGCCTTCCATCTCCTGGGCCACAAGCTCCTAACCTCAGGTATCATCAGACTAGGCTACAAGGGGGCTGCCCCACAGGTCTTGAAGACTCTGGGAGGATCTGAGAGAAGGATGCCTGAATTGGTGGTGCAGACCACCCTGAACATCTAGCTGGGCAGGCCCAAGAGGGTACTTAGTCTAAGCCCATGGCCTTGGCAGATGCACAAGGAGACCAGAACTTTGTATATTGGTAGGGTATAAGAACATGTTTTGGAAACATAAGTACCTTCCAGGCTATAGATCTGTGGGAAAGAGGGAATAATTAAGAACGACTGCCAGATCAGAGTTAGCTCCAACCACCTGCTGCCCTAACTATCTGAAACTTAGTGGTCAGCTGGGAGCATCCCAACGAGAGGCAGAAATGTGCAGGTTGATGGGGGGGATGCTTGGCTGGGGCTCTGGACCTGCATTCCAACATGGGAGCAGCTCTAGGCCTTGATGTTTGGGGGTGAGSGGGAGACATGGCAGCCCAAGGTTTCTACCACTCTCTGGATTTGACCCTGAAGCATGACTCCGTGAGGGCTAGGACTGCCCGTCTTGTTCACAGAACCCCTACCAAGCCCATAGGTTAATGTTTGAAAACAAAGAGTTCTGGGAATGGAGAGAGGAGTATCTCTGCCTGGATCTATTCCTACAAGAGAAGAAAACGTTGGGGTTCAGGGAGATAATACTGAGAGTGGCAGGACACTCCCAGGGCTTGGCTGATAACACATCCAATTACACCAGCCACCCAGTTATTAAGCAGTTATGTGACCATAAGCAAATCTTCCTGTACTTCCATTCCTTAGTAAATATCAGCAGCACTTATTCTATCACTGGGATAAAAATGACACAATAGAAGGGAAAGTATGAGGATGGGCAAGGGGGGAAGCACTGTTCAAATCTCAGTCTATCATTATTGTAAGACCTGCGAATAACAGAAACATCAAGATCAATCTGTGTGCTGGGGAAGCAGAGTGGCCACAGCCGTGAGGCCCGAGAGAGCAGACCTGTCCCCCGCAGGCTCTGACTCAGTTGAAGCGGGGCTGGTGCTAGGGCTCTGTCTCTGTACGGATGGAGTTTCAGGGAGAGGACAGGGCTGGCTCCAGGGAGAGAAGTTGGAGCAACCCAAGGGTCAGGAGCACCCCAGACTGTTCCAGCCCTTCATCAGGCTCTGTCCAGCCTCCCAGAGAAGCATGAACCTCCCTAGTAGGAGGCTAACCTGGCACTGCTTACCTCCACCATCACAGGGAAGCCAAGCCAAAGGAAAAGAGAGGAGTGTGTGTGTGTGTGTGTGTGTGTGTGTGTGTGTGTGTGTGCACATACACACACACACAGGTACAAGAATTACATTCTCTGCTTCTGGGCTCCTTCTTGGTGTTCCACCTACCCCAGGACCCCATCAAGGTCACCTGCTCCAGGAAGACCCCCAGGCATGGGAGAGAAGATGCTCAGGAGCAGCTGAGTCAGACTTGGCTGACTTGGCACATACACACACACACAGGTACAAGAATTACATTCTCTGCCCTGTTCTCCCAATGTACACACACACACACACACACACACACACACACACACACACCCTGTTTTCCCTCCTTTTAGGAAATGGGTAATTTCAAGGATGGATCTCAGACCATACTCCCTCCCTCATTCTTCCCTCTGAATTCAGCCCCTGACCACTGTTTCCTGACAAGTCCCCTGCACGCAGCTCGGTGCCCTGTCTGAGAAGCTGAGGCAGCTCAGAGTTTCCAGAGTTGTTCAAGGTGGAAGGAAGACCCACCTGCAGCGCAGAAATTCTGTCAGGACATAGGTGGTGTGACTCAAGAAACTGGGGAAAGACAAAAGCCGGTCACAGRGTTGGACTGCTGTAGCATTGCCATGCTGGTCTCACCCTGGAGTCTGAGAGGATGGCAAAGAGCCATGGCTTGGTGACTGTCGTGGGCTTGGCTGAAACATGGACAGACAATGGGCTCAGAAGGGAAGGCTCCTGGTACTCCTGACTCACCGATGATGCCTGGTCCTCAAGTCACAACTGCTCAGCTGGGAAAGCTCCGGCGCCTATCAGCCTGCGTCCCTTCCTTCAGGCAAGGGAACTGGCTGGGTCACCTGTGCACTGGCTCCACCTCAGCAGTTACCTTGGACATCACCCAAGGTGATGATGCCCCTCTATGGGACTGTTCTCCACAGTCATTTCTGCCACAGAGGCAGGAGCTGCTGTTTTTCTTGTGCGTCATTAACAGACAGATGACAATCATCAGAGCCATCTTGCAGATGGAGAAGTGAAGGCAGAGAACTGTTAACTGAGTTAGATTCGTTAGAAATCCGAGGTATGATCCCTGCTGTGCTGCCTCCCCCATCAAGGACTCTGATCCTTTCTGGGAGCAGCTGGCATGTGTATCCATGACCTCAGGGCTGAAAGGAGGCTGGCCATGTGGAGGTCAGGAGGAGGCGGGGCATGTCAGCGTGTCCAGCCTGAGTCTGGGTGGCTGGATCTGCTGAGCAGGTTTGGGAGCCACACCAGCACCTCCTCTCCTGCTGCTGTGGGCCTGCTGCCTCAGAAGCCTACTCTGGGTCATCCTGGAGGCCTGAGTCTCTCTCGGGCCAGTGTGTCTCCTGCTGCCAGGCTCCAGGGCAGAGGGTAGGGTCCTTGCCTGGAGCTTCCTGGCATGGGTTCTGCCCCCCAGGCAGGTTCACAGGGGATGTGCTTTAGGGGAGGGAAGACAGGACGGAACTGAATGGAGCTTGCAAGGCCCTTCTCATCACTGATCATAAATCCTGATTTCTGGAAGACTGTTAGTCCTCAGAAGGGATCAGCTGTCCTCTGGAGCCTTTGCCCAGCATCTTCACTATCCCTAGCCACCAAGATGTGTTCAACGGCAGAGGACTGGGGATTGGAGTTCTGAGGAAGAGGGCAGAAGATGCTAGTTACATCTGGCCTATAGTCGTCTCTACCGTGGAGAATTGGAGGTTTCCCCTGACTGGCTGAGACAGAGCCTCTGGGCCTGGGAGGCACATCTGGGGAGCAGCCAGCCAGCCTGGAGCCCTGCTGTGGTCCCAGAGACCATGCAGGGGCAGTGGGGTTGCTGGCAGCCACTCTGGGAGCAAGCTCCTCCATACCTCCTTCCCAAGGGGCAGGGTCTGGCTTTCTCTGCCACACCCCCACACGCTGGCCTCGGAACACACATATCTTTGTTAATTTATGGGAACAATAAGGCTCCTCAGGGACCACCACTCCCAGCCAAACAGTCCTGCCCACACCCAGCTGTTTATCTCAGCTGCTGTGGAAAGAAAAGCAGGGCTCCCCGCCCCCATGCCACCAGGGCAAGGCCCCAACGCTGCCACACACATGCCATACATATACAGTCTCTCTCGGTTCACGGTGCAAACAAATGCCAGGGCCTGGAGATGGCTGGACAACAGAGCCGTGAGGACAGAAGCTGGAAGAGGCCTGGTGTGGAGAGCTCTCTATTGAACACAGAGTCCTGCCTCTGCCCGGCTCTCCCACCCACTCCCAGGGCCTCACTGTCCCCCATTCCTCAGCCTTGGGCCCCAGCGCAGATCCGCTCCGAGGTCCTCCTTAGCCACCGGTCATCACAGGGGACAGGTGCCTCCATGCTGCCCGCTCCAGGGCCTCGAGTTACTCCACGGAGAGCCCTGCCCAGCTGTGGCTGGCCTGCAGGCCTCTTGGCCCAGGCTTGCTCTGGCTTTCCCCGCAGGAAGTGCCTGCTCCAGCCTCAGCCCCTCCTCACGGCTCCAGCTCCCGGGAGAGGCGGGAGAGTTCCCGCTGGTTGTCGATGACCTTCAGCTGCTGGACATAAGCCCAGGTGCTGGCTGGACTCCGGGTACTCAGGGACTGCTCCGAGCCTGGTAGGGGGAGAGCTGTCAGGGAGGTACCACTGCCACTTCACAGAACCCACCCTGAGCCCCTCCACGGAGCTTTCCTGCGTCACTACCACCTGCCAGAGCTCGTCACCAGTGCCCAGGACTGCCACCCCTGCACACCCCCCTCAGATTTGGAGGACAAACGAAGACTACAGCTAAAAGTACAGTCTGAAAAAAATAGATTAAAGATTTCATACAGAATAATACCTCTTTACTAAGTTCAATGATATCTAAAACTAAAAAATATTTTGTCATTTTATATACACACACACACATATTCATATTTGATTTCAAAGGTGTGTGTATGAGAGAGAGATAAAGCTATTCTGAAAAACAATGAATGACTCAAAATTCAGGATACAGGTTACCTTGATTGGGGAGAGGCAAGAGGACGGGGTATGTAAGTCATCATTGATGATCTCACACTTGACTTGGGCCCAGAGGTACTCAACATATTATCAGAGTAAATGCATACATAAGACAAGGGGCAAGGATGGCACTGTCGTATGGACCATGGGTTATGATTGACCCCACTTAATGCAACTAGGGTCCAATCAAACAGAAGCAGGCTGGAGTCAAGGGCTTGGGTCCAGCTCCATCACGCCCACTCTGTCCTTCAGCAAGCTGTTTCAATGCTCCAGCTGTTTCCTCATGTTTAAGTGGGGACAACAGCATCGCCTGTCTTGCGGATGTTGTATAGAGGTCCCCATATCAGGAATACAAGGGCTTGGCTCTGTCCTGGCACATGGCCAGTGCCCAGAGAAGGTCCGCCATGCTAACCATGGTGAGCGTTCACCCCTGCCCCACGCTTACATGTGGAAATCCTCGATGCCTGGCTGTCCTCGTGAAAGTGGGACACTCGGCTTCTGAGTGGTGAGAGAGGCACTGGGTGGGTGAGAGGTAGGAGTCAGGGAGATGGGCCACGCCAGAGCCTTACAGGGACACGAGGTGGGGAGGGATCCCGCCCAGGGGAACCAGGCCTCTCACCAGTGCTGTGGCTTCGGCAGTGGTGCAGCATCCTCACGGCTCTGGCCATCATTCGCTGTGGGCAACACAAGGGCACGAGGTCAGGCCTGCAGGATGGCAGCCCGTCTTGCCCATGGGGAAGCTGGGAATCTGAGCTCCCTTTGAACTGGGTGTCCTTGGGACTAGTGGGTGGTAAGAGATGGGGTCTTGGCTGCTTCACCCTGGTACACCAGAGAAGGGACCGGGCAGAGGATGCAAGACAGCTCAGGAAGGGCGTAGAGAGAGGGGACTGGAAAGGGCTCTTGTATGTTTGAGGCTGATCCCCAGCAGCCCCCAATGGAGAGCAGGCCCCCCCCCCAGTGGGCTGTGGAGTAAGGCAGGGGCTACTTAACAGGCATTCACATTTCTATTATTAATAACAAGTCTCAGGCACCTCCCAGGCTGCCCCTTCCTGGACCCATCATCATACACCCCAATCACGCCAGTGGCAGATGCCCACTCTGCCTGAACTCACCATCTTCTCAAAGTTGATGAGATTCTCCACTAGTGTATGGTTTCCCTCGTGGATGAAGGTCATGTCTGCAAAGGGATGGTTTTGCTTCTGGGTTCCCAGACTCCATTCCCCTCCTGTAGCCCAGGAAAGGGGAAGGGATAATAACGGGGAACCTGGCCTGTTCCACCCACATGGGCCTCGGCTTCTAGCTCCTCTCCAATCTGCAGCTCTTCCCAGGTTCCAGGGCCTCAGATCATGGCCCTCCAGCGTCACCCTATTTGCCTTTCTGTCTTAGCTCTTCTTCTGCCTGAGAGCTCCTAACCCACGCTCCCCGGGGCATCAACACAAGAGTGTTGGAAGGTCCCTGACGCCTGACTCAGGCACGAGGAGCCAGCCCCCTTACCTTTGAGGAGAAGAGGCATGAAGGGGATGACGGGAGGGGAGAGCTTGGTGAGGGCCAGTCGATACACTCGGTGGTTCCAAGAGGGGTCCTGATGCGGGGGAAGCCACAGAGAGAGTCCTGCACACCACAAGCCACAGCAACCCCCAACAAGAAAACATCCCACCCCACCCAGAAGGGGCAGAACTCCCATCCACATGGCCACAGCAAGAGGCTCCATGTGCAGCTTCTCCTTGGACCCAGATGCCACTGAGTGGCCCTCTGTGGCAGGCTGGAGGGGGCCTGAGGCCACTCACACTGCCAGTCTGCATGCAGGTGGCTTCCCAGTCTCCCACCGGCCCCCAAGGAACTTCATGGCTATTAGTCACAGGGCCCTGAGGGTTCTGGGAAAACTCTGTGTGTCTCTCTGGTGAGTAAATTCCTCTAAACCTCTTGAGCCCCATGAGGTGAATTGTTTTCTCAAGAGCTCTAGGGCTACGCCAATAATACCTTGGCTCCATTCTTTCCTGAACACTTCAAAACCCTCAAAAATTCCAGGAGGTGGAGAGTTCAGCCTCTCAATTTATTCCTTACCTGACCCTTGAGGGTCCTGCAGGGCCCTCTGTCCAGGCCTGGCTCACAGTGGGCACTTAGCACCAGGCCTACTTCCTGGGTCCTTGAACAAAAGACCTGGAGCCCAATGTCTCCCTGACACTCCCTCGCAACTAAGACCCAGGCCACCCCATACGCCCTGACCTGGTCTCCTATCCTACATACATTGAGTGGTGTGGCAAAGCACACAAACTCTACAACAACGCTACGTGCCCCATCCCTAGCCATCCTCCCAGACTCACAGACCAGGGGGAACTAGGCCCTAGGTCAGCATTAGGAACTCTGAAAGTGACTGAAGACAGGCAGAAAGGCTACTGAGAAGCCGACCAGGGTTTCTGAAGGAAGGAGCAGAGCCCAGCACTCACCAGCAGCCTCTCCAGGGCTGAGTATAACTTCCGGACTTTGTGGGGCAGTCGCTGTGGAGGAGAAGTGGGTGAGCTGCCACCCATGGGATGGGACTCCAAAAGTGAGAGCCCCACCCCCAACCAGGACTCCCAGGATAGGAAGGAGGCCTGACCTCAGGCCAGGGATCCTCCAGGGGTACCTACCTCCCAGGTGTGGGCCAGGCGACTGATGGCTGAGTTGCTAAGGCCAAACATGATGGCAAAGAAGGAATTGAGATTCTTTTGCTCCTTGAGGCTGTGAACAGAAGACCCAGAGACCTTCAGGGCAATCAGCCACACCCACAAGGCCCCCAAACAACAGCCAGGCCTGGGCCCAGGACCAAGCAGGCCAGCACTGCCTCTGCAGTGGGGTGGGAGGCAGAGCCTTTGGGGGACCCAGGAATACAAGGGATGACAAGATTCGGCAACACAGTGAGCAGGAAGGGGGCCTCAGGGCTCCGACCACACACCCAACAGACACTCACTGAGCCGCCAGCTTGATAAACTTCCTGAGCAGCTGGGCCCTCAGGCCGGGCACAGGGCAGAGACAGAGCTCCGTAGCCACCCAGTACTGCAGCTCATTGAAGCGGCGCATGAAGCGCTCCAGGTTGGCAGTGGTGACATCCCGCAGGTGCTGGGGGCCCAGTACATAGTGGATCAGCTCTACCTGGATGGGACAGAGAAGAGGTTCAGCGTATGCCAGGCCGGGCACCCCGCCACAACCTCTCCTCCCTGCAGCTCTGCCTCCTGCACCTGGTGGATACTGTTGAAGAGGTTCCAATCGTGGTCTGTCAGCTGGCCTGCCAGGTCCTTGGCGCTCACTGACTCCAGCCCCTCAGCAGAGCCCACAGTGGGTCCCAGCTGCTCTGGGTGTGGGGTCTGCAGGTAGGAGAGTGCTCAGGGGGTGCCTGAGGAATCCAGGGAGAGGGGTGGGGTGGGGAGAGAGGGCTTGGGGCAAAGACTCTGTGGCTTTGTTCAGAAAGACTGTGGGATAGGCAGGAGGACCGCAGGAAGTGGAGAGGGCTCTTTGGGATGTTGCAGCTACAGATTTTTGGGGCTTCCCAAGGAGGCGTCTTTCTGTCATTTTCCCCAATGCTGCAGCCCCTCTCTGTGGAGTTCCTGTTCCCAAGGGGTGCCCTGACTACGGCAGGTCCTCTTTCTCCTTGGGAGCTGCTCCCACTCAGCACTATCATCCCCCCAATATTTAAAATCTCCCCATCAGCCGAAGCCCCCTCCTTCCTCTTCCCGCTGAAGACCTACCAGCAACCAGAGCGAGACCCCTCCTTCTTTTCCCTAAGGCCCTCCCACAGAACCCACCCCTTCCACCCCCAAAACAGAGTTCCTCCCTAAGCTCTGGCTCCCTGCCTGGTCCCTACCAGCTCATGCACTTCCTGTGGGTCGACAACAAAGAGCCGCTCGTTGAGCCCCAGGGATGTGGCCACACCGCGGGCATCTGGCTGCAGGCCAACGGCATCTGCAAAGACAGCAGAGGCTGCGCTGAGTGGGGGCAGGGAGGGAGGCCCCACAGAAGCCTGCTGGGGAGCTTCCTTCTCCCCACAGCGGCTAAAGCAGGGCATGTCGTTAATGCACAGGTGCACGTGCCTTCTCTCCACACCACCCTGGCAGAACGCCCAAGGAGGCAACAAAGAGACTCGTCCAGACAGGCTGACCTTGGGCAAGGTTTCAACTTCCCTGGGCCTCAGTTTACTCCTCTGTAAAATGGAGACAATAAGACTTGCCAAGTCAAATGAGTTGACTTATGTAAATATGGCTGTAAGTAGGTAATACAGATAAAAATCCCGTTGAAAATTGGAAAATGTCATATATGTCTTGGCGTTGACTTTTTAAATTACATTTATTTATTTATCTATTTATTTATTTATATGCAGTGCTAAGGATTGAACTCAGTGCCCCACACATGCTAGGCAAGCACTCCGCCGCTGAGCTACACTACTGGCCCTTGGCCTTGATTTTATCAGCTCCTTGTGGACTGGGACTGTATTTTTAGTCATGTTTGAGTCTTCAGTCCCTAGACCACCAAAGTAAAGAAGACTTTGTGTGCAAGGAAAACGTTAGCTCTTCTTATATTTATTGTTCTCATTTGTTTTACATTTCTTTTTGTGTATAGCTTTATAATTACATAATATTGATGAGATGATAAGTACATATAATTTATAAACAAATGTATACTCAATGGGAGATTGGTAATAAAATGTTGGTTACTGACATGGGCGTCAATCAGTGGTCTAAAATGTGCCTGGCACATAGTAGGGTCTCAATAAATGTGGACTTTGGGAAATTGCAACTCACCAGGTGGCCACCAGAGGGCAGTGCTTCCCAGAGCAGAGCACACAGGTGACCTCATTGGTCTTTCCTCACTTCCTAAAGGGAGAAGGCTTTTCTCATCTCCACCCCTTACCATTATTCCCTGACTGCCCCAATTCCTATCACCCTGGGCTCTGGCTGTCTGTTCTGGGATGCACCTTTCACAGAGAACAGTGTTTTTCAATGTCCCAAGTTCTCCAATGGCAGGTCACGGTAATCCTCATGCCACCATAGACTAGATATCGACTTTGCCAGGCCCCCTGCTGCTTGCTCCACACACATTACCTCTAGTTTAATACCCACCACAATACCAATTGATAGGTACAATAATAGTGCCCATTTGACAGACAAGAAAATGGAGGTTCAGAGAGGTGAAGCAACTTGCCCAGTTAGCAGTTGATCTGGGATTCCAACCCAGACATGGCATCGGGCCTACACTCTTAACCATCCAGCTGATCTGTCTTATCTGCCCATGGTACCTCTTACTCCATTGCTGACCCTCAAGAATATCTGCTGAATGTCTAAACGAACGAGGACTACCTAAGTCCAAAGGCCAGCTACCTTCTCACTGTATGAGCTTGGGAGAAACCACTGAGTTCCCTTGACCTTCAGTTTCCCTGTCTAAATATAGGATAAGGACCTATCACAGGCTTGCAATTAGGAGTAAATGAATAAATACATGAGAATGAGAACACTAGCAGCCAATACTCCTGTGGTGCTGACAGTATGCCACAGACCATCCTGAACACTTTATAGATGAGCTCATTGGATCCTCACAGTCACTCTAGGAGGCAAGAACTCTTATTATCCCCATTTACAGATGATGAGATTGATCACAGAGAGTTTAAGTGCCCTGCTCCAGGACACGCCGCTAGTGAGCTGAAGGTCTAGTATCAGTCGCAGGCAGCGGGCTCCAGAGTTCCTGCTCCTGAGCATTCCGTGCAAAGCAGAGAAGAGGGGAAAGAGATGAGATGAACCTCTGGAAATGCAGCCGTCACTAACCCTGACGGCGATGGTAAGATGATGATGATCTTAATTCGGAAAATCTGGACATAGATCTGAGGGGGACCCCCCCCGCCTTGAGGTCCCTCCAGAGACAACTCACCACCTGCAGAATTGACCTTCACCAGCACCTGCCCCTTGGTCCAGCCGTCCTTCTGGGCCAATGCTGCCATCACCTCTCTCACAGAGGCTGTCACAGGTAGCTGCAGGGTCAGCACGGAATGGTCCGGGCGGCAAATGTCATAGGGGACTAGAGAGGAGGATGGGGCTGAGCTGTGGGAGGGGTCGCCTCATCCCCCCCCCCAGGAGGGAGAAGGCAGCAATTGCCTGGGTGGGAGGGACCCCAGGGGTGGGGAAGGGCAAGTGAGGGAGAACACGGTGGGCAAGCTGAGTGTGTGGAGTCCAGGAGGCGGATGTGCCAGGCAGCCTGGAACCCCCTCAACCCAGGCACCCTGAGGTCGAGGAGAAGGGAGGCAGAGACACTGGGGGCAGATGTCAGGCTCAGATCACCAACCTTTGTCCCCAGCTCGAATGGCACAGTTGCTACTGGGGAGCGGCTCTTCCTGGCTGGGGAGCCAAGCAGGCATATTCCGAGCCTGGAAGGAACAGAAAGTCAGGCTTAGAGGACACTAGGAAAGAGTAGTGGGGAGGGGACAGCGAAGGGTGTCACTGGGAGCAGGAATGACAACACACACCACCAGAGGGGTCTGCTTGTCACATTAACCTGAGCCCAGATAAGGCCCTGGGGCTCCAGAGAAAAGACAAAACAGGTCTCAGGGTGGACATGTGTGTGCCTTACACACTGTAAGTTCTTCCCTCTCTGGCAAACAGGTCAGACTGGGCTGGGGCTGGGGCTCAGTGGTGGAGTGCTTGCCTAGCCTGTGTAAGGCCCTGAGTTCGATCCTCAGCACCACATAAAAAATTAAATAAAGTTATCGTGTTCATCTACAACTAAAAATATTTTTTAAATGTAGCTCTAGAGCTTTTCCAAGATGGAAAGACCTCAGCAATTGACCCTACTTTCTCTTCCTTTCCCTTCTTCAGCTGCCATCTGCCATGAACTAGGCATTGTTCTAAGTATTCTCCACAGTCCTTTAACAAAAGCCTTATTCTCATTTTGGATGAGACAATTGAGGCTCAGAGGGGTTAAGTAACATGTCCAAGGCCACACAGCTGCTGCAGTGGCAGAGTTGGAATCCTGACTTGCCCCTTCCTCCCTCTGTGCTCTCGTCTCCTATCTCTGCGTCACCTCCCCGTCAAGCCCTGTGGCAGGCCCACCGTGGGCTGCTACTACTAGGGAACTTCTGCTGATGGAGCTTGCCTGACATGGGTTCCTTTTCCCACCCCTGACTGCTTTTCCCAACTCTGGCACTAACTCTTCCTCCTCCCAGCTCCAAGGTTCAGATTTCTGTCCACTGCTCTTCCCTGGGCTTCCTCTCAGCCCCTGACGCCTGCTGCATATGGATGACACAACACACTGCCACCAGGGCTGGACTCTCCCGGGCCCTGGTCTGGAAACCTCCCACACTGCTCCACAACCATGATCCGCTGCCCCAACCTCACCCCCCCCCCATGGCATCCCCTCGCCTGGGATCTTGTCAATCCTGGCTCGTACCCCTCTGTCCTCTGCACTGATCCTAGGACAAAGACCACGCCCATTACCATGGCCCAGGGAGTCCCWCAGGCTCCGGCTTCTGCTTCTCCAGCCTCCCCTGCTGTCCCTGCTCTGCCTCCCTCCTCCAGGGCCACCTTGGGTCCTCTTTCTCCTCGACTCTCAGCCTTTGCAGCTCTCAGCTTCAAGAGTCACTTCTCCGAGGGCCCTTTCCCTAATCCTGGACACTCATTCAGCTCTTCCCCATCTCTGCCTTCAGAGACTTCAGTCTCTGTCTTTCTACATCATGAGGTTGTTTCTCGGTTCTGCCCTCACCCGACTGTGAGCCCCGGGGCCCACACCACCTCAATGGCAGCCAGCACAGTGCCTGGTGCTGGGAGTGTGAGGCAGTTCCTAAAGGCCAGCCAGGAGTCGGGCAGAGCATGAACACAGAGGAAGCAGAGGCAGAGACCCCCATCGTAAGGCTGACGTTCCCCTGGGATGCGATAGGTTAACCGGCAACAGGTAAGTAACAAAYAAAGGGATTGCACAAGGTAGTGTGCCCCAAAGAAAATCCTACAGGACACCTTGCGGGCACAGGAAAGGGAAGGAGTGCTCCGGGCAGGGAAATGGGAGGGGCCCTCTCGGTGAACTCCACGTTTTTGGCTGAGATTTGAAAGAGAAGGATCCATTTAGGTCAAGAGTCAAAGAACGTTCCAGGCAGGGGAGTCTACAAAGGCCCTGAGGTGAGACCAAGGGAAGAGGAGGCAAGCCAACAGGCATGGTGGTGCACGCCTGTAATCCCAGTGACTCAGAAGGCTGAGGCAGGAGGATCACAMGTTTGAGACTAGCCTCAGCAATTGAGTGAGGCCCTAAGCAACTTAGTAAGACTCTGTCTCAAAATTTAAAAATATATATATATATATTTTTAAAAAGGGCTGGGGATAGAACTCAGAGGTAAAGTGTGATTGGGTTCAATCCCCAGTAAACCCCCCCCCCCAAAAAAAAGAGAAGGAGGCAGAAGAAGCCTGAAGGAAGCAGGTGGGTGGGACAGATGAGATGGGGCAGGTGAGGCCAGGCAACTTTTCCAGCCMTTTTCCCACTACTCTTCAACAGCATCTCAGCTCCAGTCACACTGTATGCCCCTCTGCTCCCCCATCCACAGTGAGAATGACATTGACCACCTCTTCTTCCTGGGGAGGCAGTGTCACCTTCCTCTGGGCTCCCGTAGCCCTGGGTACCAGGAACCTTAGGGCCTCAGGGGCGAACTTCAGCCATCACATAGCATCAACCAYGAGCGTGAATAATCTCTCAAAGGAAAAAAAAGCCCCTCAGAGCCCAGCGTGATGGYCCAYGCCTGTAATTCCAGTGGCTCGGGAGGCTGAGGCCGGAGGAACATGAGTTCAAAGCCAGCCTCAGCAACTTAGCGAGGAGACTCTGTCTCCAAGTAAAAAAATAAAAAAGGACTGGGGATGTGGCTCAGTGGTTCAGTGTCTCTGGGTTCAATCCCCAGTACCCTAAAAAAAAGCCCCTCAGAGTGGTAGGGGGGTGCCTCCTTATAACTCAGTGTCTCCCCAGCAGGGCCCAGCTTGGGTGCCACACACAGCAAGGGCCTCRGGAATGTCCATCACAGACTCAAGGGCTTGTCTGTGGGTGGGGAACCCTCCCACAKGGGCCCCTCCAGGTGAGGGAGCTGGATGGGCAGAGGGAAGAAGGGGGAGCCCTGCTGAGACCAGGCAGGTACCTTCATCATAGGAGAAGCGTTCCCACAACCATTTTCCAACCTGTGGAGAGAAAGAGAGAAGGAAGGTGAGAGAGAGGCAAGGCATTCCTGGGGACAGGGAGCCTGGCAGAGTCAGAAGCAGACTGTCCCAGGCTCTGGACTCCACCCCTCCCCCACCAGCAGCTCAGAGGGAAGTGCGTCTCTATGAGTAGCCCAGAGTGGGTCAAAATGGACTTGACAATCATGAAATTCATATGGAAAAACAAAAGACCCAGAATAGCAAAAGCAATTCTAAGCAGGAAGTGTGAATCTGGAGGTATAGCGATACCAGACTTCAAACTATA